TGGCTTTGTCCTTCTCTGACGATNTACCCATAGCGAGTGCAGGAAAAGCGAGAGCAGGAGGTGGGAGGAGGGTAAGACACATCGTGTCGTGTTGGACCCTGATTCAGAGAGGAAAACTCGCGCACCAGCCACCCATGATGTGAGCGCGCCGATCCCAGCCCCAACTGTACAGTAGCACCTTGACACTTTGGACAGCTCCAGATCCATTGTCTGGCAGCTTCCACCCAACCACCATGAAGCTCGTCTGCTTGGCCTGCACGGATGAGTTTGACGGGAGCCGTGCACTTGCCACTCACAAAGCCAGGTGATGCTATTATTTCCATTATCTTTCACACTAGTTAATGCAAATAGCCAATCATTTCCTTCATCAAGAGAGGAGCCACCAGAGTTCATTTAGTATGATGTTGACAGTTATAAAGGTTGATTATCTACATGAAGTTCCATGATCTATAGCACATTTTGTGCTGGCTGTCAAGTGTGACACCTCAATAGCAATATCCCTATTAGTGTTGAACTGATACATGATACCTCTTGCTTTGCACACATACTTGGGGTAGTCATTAACTGTTCATCCATTATGATTCAGATAATCGAGGCAATAATCGGGTACCCATATGCAATAATTGCGGCCGGTAATGGCAGATAATGTCGGAATTGATGAGCTAATAATTAGTTATATAAAGTAAGTAATGCCTGAGCCTCTACATCCGCAACACCTTCAATGCAGGCTCAAAACCACACCCTTTCTTCCCAAAGTCAGCCAGTTCGGCACGCAAAGACTTAAGATGGATCAATAAGCAGAGGGATCATAACAATGAGATAGCCACTCACCATAGTATAGTCAAGCTGCTCGCCATCCGTGCCGCCTTGACGCGCCGCATCATACTCCGCCTTGCATTCGTCTCGCATCCACAGATACATCTGCGCCTGCTGGTGCGCATATGCCTTATGTCCCAGTGAAAGCCCAGTGCACCCCGCAGCATTTTCCCATCCCTTACGGAGACTGTCAAACCCACGTACAGAGTGGCGGAACTCAGCGCATAGGATGTTTACGGCTTCATTGTGCCGCGTCTTCTCCGCGCGTGTCCGCTGCCACTGCGTGCACTCCGCTAGAGGTGCAATGTTAGCGCGCCCACTGAGTTAACATAACTACTGCACCTACCTGATCGCAACCATTCAGGATCATGCTCAGCCGTCGCCGATGGCTCCTCAGGTTGCGCTGATGAAGTGTCTTCTTGTTTCCGCTTTCGGGCGCTCGTTCGCTTCTTCGGCGCATCTGCCGGTATCTCGAAAACGGACCAGATCCAGGATCTGGACTGCTTGCTTTCGCCGTTCGTCCGCGCCGCGCGAAGGTCGCTGATTAAGAGGTCCTTCTGTTTGTTGATGAGCTTCAGACACGATGACATGTCCGAGCCTGAGGAAGCGCCTTGTGGATCTAGAATGCGGCGCAAAGTGTTGATGCACCCAACATTGTGGTTATAGCGGTCCGCGAGACGTCGCGAAAGTTCACGCGATTTTGAGATCTTGGTATTCGCACGGGTATGCTCCTTCGTTCCCTGCGCGTGCGTCTCCTTGCTATCAAGGAAAGCGGAAGCATGACGGACAGACTGTCGGACTTCTTCAAGTTGATCGAAGGCAAGCCCAACTCGAATTTTGAGCTCGTATGTCGCGAGGAGGTTGAGGCTGTAGTGCTCAATCTCTGATGCATTGAAGTCCGAAGGAAGGCCAAGCACTTCTTGCGCTTCCCTGCTCTCTTTGTCGTTGTCATCGTCTTCAGGAGCGTTGATGCGCACTCACCGCGCCTGCCGCCCGCCGCAGTGTGGGCACCGCTCTCGAGCTCAGACCACCCCGACGCGGACTCCCTGTCGGATACTGCGCCCTGACGCGTGCCCCGCGCGGCCCCGAGCCTCCCAGAGGGCCGCCTGGGCGCCCACGCACTACCCCCATTCGCTACCCGCGACGCGAGCAAGGTGAACCGCGATAAGCGGCCCCAACCGAGAGCGCCAAGCCCTGCCAAGCATCGGGGTTCGAGGGCAGTACGAAACGCCCGATACGCTCGTCGGGGATCGCGACGCATACGCCCCCGCCCACCAATCACACCGCGCGGCCCCGACAGCCTAGGCAAGGCCGGTAGAGCGCGGCCCCCGTAGGGGCCCGATCGTCGCACCCGTCGCGCCGTGCGCGACGGGTGCATCTTTCATTTCTTATCCTTCCCGTACGGCTCCGGCCCCTCCTGTATATACGCGGGCCCCGAGCACCGGGAAATGCACTTTCTCTTACCCCTTCAGAGCTCAAGTTTGCGTTTGTGCCCGTGTCTGCGACTGCGACTGCGACTGCGTTCGCGAACCTCCCCGACAGCGCCCTTACGCCCTCGACCACGTCAATTACAGTGAGTACTTCTCAGAAGTCATCGCGCACTGGTACCCCGCCCCGCGTCGCATCCCCCAACTAGCGTCCGCGCAATCCCCTACCCCCGGGTCAGGAGCGATAAGCTCGCTCGACCCCCGCCGTCCCCCGCGCATCCGCGTTCGTAGGGAACTCGGGATCGTACTCGGAAACCCCCCGCACACACAAGTCACTTCTCGGGTCTCGTCCTCTCGGCCCATCGACCCTGGCGTCCTAGCGGCCGTTACGGGAGGCTTGAGTGCATCAGCGTCCAGGGCTATGACATCTGACTCGCTGTCAGTCGGTGGATGTAGAAGCGGCATCAGCTTCCGCTGAGCAGATCGCCATTGCTTGAGCTTCTCGTTGAAGGCAGCAATTGCGACGGGGATCATCTCCGTAGCCTCGTCTGTCAGCCCGTTGTCTTCGCGCCGTAGTGCTTTGTGTGTGCGTAACTTGAACCTAGGACCAGTGATCAGTAGCGAGTAAGTGTACGGTGCGACAGGCGAGGACGTACCAATCACCATCAAGTTCAATCCCGGTCTTGATGAACTGCGCCGCACATTGGCGGAGTTCGGCGGCGGCAGCGTCAGTGTTCTTGTTCTTGCCGCTCTTGTGGATCTCGATGAGGCTTTCAAACGCACTCTGGCGTGTAGGAACTGTGCCAAAGAGCTAGATCAACGAGGAGAACAAACATAAAAGAACGAAAACGTACATTGTGATCGATCAAGGACGTACACGCTGTGTGCGAAAGCAGCTTCCTTTTCACGGAAGTTGCTCGGCGTCGGCGCTTGCGTATGGATGTCCAGCTTTACCCATTCATTGACCTTCTCCGGACCCCCAAGAGCGGTCAGACTGGCCAGGTATGCCGTCGTTTGATGCTGGCCCGCATAGGCCTCCTTGAGCTTCTTCGCAAGATAAGGCTGAGCACGGTTCCGGCTCATTTCACAGGTAGATCCGTCAAAACCCGGGCCCGCACCTGTGGATCCGGCTCTCCCGGGTGTAGGTCATCCGTGTCGCCGGATAGCCACGGTTCCAGGTACCATGTCACGATCTGGTACCATCCGGGGCATGATCTGACACGGATCCTATGTCCATTATCGTCCATTACATCAATGAAATTGAAAGCTAAACACATATACTAGTGTACAGAATCGATTCACAAGGGCACGCACCATTGAGCACGTGAATTCATTCAGATCTATAAGTACAAAACCGTATACAGCCCAGGCACGAGAAGGAGCTTAGCAGGCGAGTTGAATCGCCCTCAGTCAGCAGTACTACAAGGCTATCTAGTCTAGTTACTAGTAAGCCTACTTATCATCGCCTTCGGCATCCGACGACCACAGTGCCTCGCCATCCGAGTCATCATCACCACTGCCGCATGACGAGCAGTCAACTGTCTTGAGAGAAGGCATATCAGAGCGGCCCCCATCGGAGTCAGAGTCGGCGTCAGCAGCAGCACGACGAGCCCACTTCGGCGTCGTCGGCGTCTTCGGCGCGTGCTGAGGAACGACCGGTTTGGAGGCTAGGAGGGGTACGCCAAGGCTTGGAGCAACGGGCGTGGTTCCGGCTCGTTCTGACGGCGGCGCTGTGTCGGACTGAACGTCCGCAGCCTGGTGCTCCAGAAGAGAAAGGCGGTGCAGTTCGTTCGCAAGACCGTTGCCGGCATGGGCGAGAGTCTGCACTACCGGAGGGCGGAATCGACGGGGTGGCTCGAGGGGGCTCTGCATGGGTAGGTCGGAAAGATCGAGGTCGGTGGTGTCAAAGATAGACTACACAGGTGTCAGTATGTGTGATATAGCGGTCTCAGAAGCCAGATCGGACATACCTTGGGAAAGTTCACATGTAGCCATCCTACAAACTCGGCGAGTTCGTCATCGGCTCGCTCGAATGGGTGCAGCTCGCTTGCGGTCTCGATCAAACGGTCGGTGAACAGCTCGAAGTCGCTGGCGCCGAGGCGGCCGAGGGCGAAGGCACGGTAGGTCAAGACAACGTCAAGCAGCAGCTCAAACTGCGCCTGCGTTGCCTCGCACTGAGATGTGAGCGGGCCGTGCACGATCTCGATCCACCCATCGATGCGCTCCGTCGTGACGCTACTGACGTCGTCGGTGGGGAGAATGAGCTGTAAATTATTGTAAGTAATCATCAACGCCGCGAGACAACGCGTGCAACGAATACACTCACGGTCAGAGCGTAGGTGGTTCCATAGATGAGTAGCACAACCGCGGGCATGACGTCGTCATGCGGGGAGCGAACATATGAGGTGTCAGGGCGCAGGTACAGGTCGGAACCATCCATGGCTGTCGTGATGAGCGGGCGGATGGGGTAGCTGTAGCGTACTGGGGCTGTGGGGTCGCAGATCGGTACCGAGTGGCTTATGATCCTGGCAGAGAGCCAATGCACGTATATATACATTTTGCTGGGCCCCTATGACGCCATCCGTGCGCACATGCAACATTGTTCTTCAAGGCGGCCGCCGTTTCACGATAGAACAATCCAATAGGTACGCTGTATTGGAAATCCAACGATATGTAGGGAATGGCAGGGATACATCCACAGATACTTTGGGTGGTATCTGTATCCTTATCCTCCAAAATCCTTATCCCTGGCAAGGATAAGGATTTTTGCAAAAATCCTATCCTTGTGCAGATAATCCTTGTAGTTAGGGATATTTTCATTGATATAGCACTATATCATCACACCCATGGGCTGCATTATGTTCTATTGAGTGTCAGAACCCTTAATAAACCTCAATGCAGCCACTCAAACAACTCTACACCCAGTTTAAGGCATTTCTCTACCTTCATAAGGAGTACAAAGTATCCCTGCTAGGGGTACGGATTTTTGAGGATTTGCTTTTTGAGTATCTGTATCCGTATCCTCATGGATAATCCCTGTAAATCCTTGCAAGGATACATATCCTTGCCATTGCCTAACAATATGCTGACTATGAAGCAGGTGCACCCTGTAGTGCAGTGTGAATGCACGCATCGGGCAGCGGGCTGCCCTCCTCGTGTCCCCGTTCAGTATCCAGAGCTCTCCGCTCTGTACAAGATTGTGCGAGGCGAAAACCCCCCCCCCCGATCTGTCTCTGCAAGCGTCGGAATTGATGTCGGGCATAAGCGTAAGGCGTGTACACTGTGGGCGCCTAGCAGATTGGTCGGCCTGGAGTCACGTAACACAGAGGTCTATGGTGGACTAGCTAGAGGACGACGCACCACAGCGAGTTGGCGAGGCTGTTGACGAGGTCTCTGGACAAGAAATGCAGGGAGTGTCGTGCAGAACTGGTCTGTGCGTCCGCGCTCACTGTCAGCTTCTTCGTGGGGAAGCCTGTCAAGGTAGGCGCCATTGTAGCTGAGCTTGTTCGTCGCTTCCCCCTCTCCTTTCCCTGCTCTTGCCACGTCAACATGCACAAGTACACGTCCGAAGGCCTCGACGACCTTATTGGTATGTAAACAGGTCCATTTTCGGTCCGCTATCTACTGCAAAGCGGCCTTGGCATTGACACTAGGCCTTCAGGTGCTCTGCGAACACCCTCAACCCATTGCACAACACATGCGACCTCGCACATCGCGGACAGATCGTCCCATGGGTCCTCAGGTACAATCTACATGCGTAGTCTGCGAGGCAGCTTACTGATGTGATGTCCAGACATCGTACCCGCGCACGGGCAGCAGAATGGACAGTCAGCGCCCTGTAATGGGCGCTTTGCGCGCCATTACCTCGCTTACATAATCATACTGTACACGTCCGTCGCGCGTCCTCGACGCGTTCCTTGTCTTTGCAACGCCAGTACTACGCGGCCCTCACGCCTAATCTCACTCTTTGACCCTCTGAGCGACCGCCGCGCGCCTCGTCTCGTCCGTCTCGCGCCGCCGCGCATTACACGCCCATGGGACCTCCTCCCGCTGTCGCTATCAATCTGAGGCAAGTCTCCGTGAGGAAACACCGTGCCCGTGTGGCCTAACTCAGCACAGTCATATCCCGGTCATATCCCGACACCATCCGAGCCAGGGAAAGCTGCAGGGCGGATAAAAGGATGGCTTGGACGTATGAACACAGTCAGTGCATCTCCATCTCCCCATCCTACTCGATCCACTGAAGCACCATGTCTCAGAGCCAGTCCACGAAGCGCAGTCGCGAGTCCGCGCCTGTGGATGCGACGTCTTCTCCAGTCCCCGTTGCCACTACTCAGTCTCGCGTCCATGCCCGCCCACGGATCTCCGACGTCGCTAGCCCTCCGAAGAAGAGGCTCAAGGACACGGCAGACGTTTCCTCCGATGCCGACGAAGGCGGCGCCGAGGCTAGCGGCGGCGACGAAGCCACGGATGGTGGTATAAAGGCCGTCGTTTTGGTTGCCCGCCATGCCCGCCGCCCTCGTCTCGTGTCCGCGGAAGAGAAGCGGCGCCGCTTCAAGGAGAAGTACGCTGGCATGACGCCCGAGCAGATCCTCGGTGAGTACCTCCTTCGTTTTGTCTTGATTTTCCATGCTGACATGTTTACCTGCTTAGCGACCGTCTCCGAGGGGTGGAGATCGAGTGTATATACGCACTACCGCCCCCCACAGATTATCCCTGGGCCAAACGGAACCTCTACCTACCGGTTCGTCTGCAAGAAGTATGTGATATTTTATTACTACTCTTAGCGCCCCTTCACTGACTGCCCATCAGGTACCCGTCCAAGCACGTTGATCGTGCTGACTCCGAGGATTCCACCGGGAATCTGCGGAGGCATGCCGACTGCTGCGACCCCGACGAGCCCCCTGAGTCCGATCTGCTATCGATCTACGCCCACGGGGTCACGTACACAGCTGAGCGGATGCGACTCCTTCTCGCGCTCTGGTGCGCTCGCCGCCACCGTCCGTACGTGATCGTCGAAGATCCAGAGATCAAGGAGGTTTTCCGGATGCTGTATGCACGTGTGTACATCTCCTCCCGTACCACCGTCTCCTGCGACGTCAAGGTCCTTCATCGCGACATGAAACTGGGGTTAATGACGCTCCTTGCTGTAAGTGTTACCTCTAAACTATAGTATCCAGACTTACAAATTCTAACTGTCCTATCCTTGCAGGGCCTCTCGTGCCGTCTGCATCTCTGCGTAGATGGCTGGACGTCACCTAATGTCCTCTCATTTCTTGGAATAACTGTCCATTGGCACTGGGATGGGGAAATTCGTCATGTCATACTTGATTTTGTCCGGTATGATGCTTCTCTCGACTCGGAATGGTTCTGACTGCTGATGTCCGTGTTGGATAGCTTGACGAGTGCACATACCGGGGCATACCTTGCCGAGAAAGTCGTTGAATGCCTCAAAGAATACGGCATCGAGGAAAAGGTATTTTCTTGGTTTTAGTACCTACATGTGCGCGCCGCTGATGCTCTCTGGTCTCCAGGTGCTGGCTGTAACTTGCGACAACACAGAATCAAACACCGTCATGCTCCGGGAAATGTCAAAACTTGTGCCAGGGTTCCGGGGCCCGCAAGTTCGTGTCCGCTGCTTCGGACATGTTCTGAACCTTGTCGTGAAGGTCAGCACAGCGCATATACACTTTGACTTATGCTAATAATATTCTCCTGAAGGCCGTCTTGTCGCAGTTCACCGAGAAGAAGCGCGCCAGTAAGGATTCGGGCGATACTACGGAGGCAACAAATGCCGCACGCGAACTGGTGGGTCTGGACGACGGCGAGCCCGATGAAGACAACATTGACGAGAACGAGGATGAGGACAAGGACGACCACGAGGGTGATGCCTCGCGCGAGGCTGCGGACGCCGCGATCCTCGACACTCTCGACAACGACAACCCCGAGCTGGTCTTGACACACGCAGAGATCAGTGCCGGGCTTCTTGCATATGAGAAGGTCAGATAAATGTATGCATCCTGTCATCAGGACCGATGCTAACCGTTCGCTCTCCACGCACAGATCATGAAACTCTCCAAGAAAGTATGGAATAGTCCGACTATCCGCACAGAGCTCGCGCAGCTCTCCGCTGCTGCCGGCCTCGATTACGAGGTCCTTATACGACCTGTGAGCACGCGTTGGAACACCGTCACAGAGGTCATCGAGCGCGCGCTGGCTATGCGCGACGTCCTCGGTGATTTATGCGATAAAGTCCAGTTCAATCGCCGGGATGGCGCCCGCCTCAGACGCTTCATGCTTACCGACGAGGAGTGGCAACTCCTGGATCAACTCCATAGCCTGCTTGGGGTGCGTCTCCCCATTTTCTATGTCTTCCGTGACACATAGATGTTCTAACACTATTCACTTTGCAGCCCTTCCTCTTCGCAACCAACCAGATCTCGAGCAGCACCCGCGCTTTGGTGCACGAGGTTATACCGTACATCGACATCCTGACGGAGCATCTCGACGACTACACGGCTGACCTCCAACTCGCCCCGTCCGTGCGCGCGGCTGCGCAGCGCGGCCGCGTCGTACTCAACAAGTCCTACGAGCGCACTGATGAGTCGATCATCTATCGGATCGCGATGAGTTCGTATACAATTAGCTCTGTCTTCTGTTCGATTTGTGCATGCTAACCTGTTGTCCTCGCAGTTCTGCACCCTGCATACAAGACGCAATACTTCCGCGATCACCGGTGGGAAGAGGAGTGGATCAAGGAGGCCAAGACCATCATCCGGGAGGAGTGGGAGGCTAACTACAGGCCAGCCGACGACACAGAGGCCGCTCCGGCTGCCGGCGGCTCTGCGAAAGGATCCAACAGCACATCAATCACATCTGAGAAGGGTACCGCCTCTACGCAGAAGTCAAACGAGGTAAGCAGCGCGCGCTGTGTATTTGACTATGTATTCCACTGACACACGTCCACACGGGACACTAGGGGAAGGGCAAAGCGCGCGAGGACCAACCTCCCAGCGGTGCGAGCAACAAGACATCTGTCATACTGGAAGTATGTCTGACATGGCATTGCAATCGCAGGTTGCGCAGGCTCTTCCCTAGGAGGTTGACGAACCTTGTCGGCACCCCAATCACCATGGTTGAGGTCACTACTACGTACTCGTACGTGCCATGACTCCGTACCCGCCTCCGCCACCTCCATCTCTTGCCGAGGATGTAGACGAGAGCACGGATGACACAGTCGACAGCGAAGGCGACAGTGACATGGAGACGCACCTGCAGAGTGTCGTGGACAAGGCCATTGACAGTATGTGATTGTACGCGTGTGTTTTTGTTTTGTCCCGTGGTCATGCTTTTCCCCCCTCTCCTTTGCATGTGATCTTCTACGCACCTGACTCTATCTATCTGCTATTGTTCGCGTCTGCTATTGTTCTATTTGTCATTGTTCTTTTTACCGCTATTGTCCCTCCCCGCTATTGTCCTCATTCACTATTGTTCACTCCTTATTGTTCATCTCAAAATAAACCACATACTCTCGCCGAGCATATTTCTTATTGTCTCACCAGAACAATTACTCTGTCTCCACTTTATTGTTCTCTTGCGTACTACTATTTTGAATCATTCCCGCACATACATTATATAAGGCTGTGAAGCCACCCCAAAATGGAATAAGCCCCTTTCACCTGAACCATCACCTGCACATTTTGATCTCAGCGTTAAGTCTAAGTTTGTACTAGCACTGCAAAAGGCAGGATCTAGTTTTGCGCATAAGGGACCTAACGAACGGGTCTACGACTTATTGCGCTGCTTAGCTTTGACACTGATCTCATTATTACCTGGTCACTACCCATTCTGTTCACCGCTCGCCGCGCTATACATTGCGCTCACTCACACACACATCCACACACACAAACAAATATAAATAACCCTTCACACTACTTCCCGAACAACTGAATTGTTACCTGACTGCGTCCCAGACCGGTACATTCAGGTGGAGGTTATTCTAGTGAATTAACTTTCACGCACGTCACATCCAAGAAGCCTACTGGCACAGGACGCCTCAGCGTGCAGGCATCAGCAAATGCAGTGCATCTTTATCAGCCATCCCCCTCGTGCGCGTACTGACGGTGTACCGTAGGCATTGTTCGCTTCCGTCTCCAAGAACCGGAAGAGGACAAGTGCGTTCGATCCGCTTGAAGCTTACCTCGAGACGCCGCCCATCCCCTCCGTCGAGGAGCCACTCCATCACTGGAATCTCATCCTCGAGAGTTCGAGGGAGGACTCGCCTGACGCTGCCTTGGCACACATGGCCCTAGATTTCCTCTCCACCCCAGGTATGTATGCCAGCCGTCGTCAGTATGCTGCATTACTGACACCTCCATGCAGCTGCGTCGACCGACGTCGAGCGAGCCTTCTCGCGCGGGCACTTGACCGTGTCGCGGCTCCGCCACTCTCTGGGCGAGGACTCCGTGCGCGCAGGCACGGTTGTGGGCTCCTGGGCTCGTATCCCAGATCTACTCGACGAAGAGCTGCTTGCTAAGTCTCTCAAGCCTCCAGTGCCGCGTCCGGTCAAGAAAGCTGCAGCTACGGCGTCCTCGCGTGCTCAGGGTGGTCCGAAGAAGGATGTTGAGGTTCTTGTTATAGATTAGACTGTACTGACGCTACTCTAAGTGGCTCGCCGTGTCCGACCGTCTCTCAACAGCGTAGTTAGTCCCTCCTTCAACAGGAGTTCACGGTGGCTACCCTTCAACAGGGTCTCCTGTACTTGTTACACTGTAGTTACAGTGTTGTATGCTCTATTAGTCACTTTCCCTTCGCAATCTACGGTCCAATGACCTTGTCTCTGTCCCATGTTTCTGATACAACTGTGGGAGGATGTCTTCTTGCTCGGCACGAGTGTCTGCTTGCTCGGCGACCAGCGCTAAGCACTTACAAAATCTGTGCAGGATCTGTTTGATGTTATAATGATTCCTCGACAACACGGCCATCGTTCGACTTCGTATTTTGTATGCGCAGTCCGTACTTCATACGGAAGCTCCCTGTGCAATTTGAACGTGTTCCGTCCACAGGGGGACTCATTATACACATGTTTGCCTCGTCATTTGAAGTATATGTATTCCGGCTTTCCTGACAGCATTTCTGAACGCGGTTACATGGGGTTTATTGCGTCATGTTCGTGCTGAATCAATCTACATCCTCCCCACGTTTCGGAGGGTTTGGAGTGAAATTGATTTCGCGGCTCCCAAAGCAGGTCACCCGTGGGTGTCGGATCCAGGTGTCCCGGGTCCAGGTGATCCGGGGTCCCGGGTAGGCGCAGATCTAGGTATGGGCTTTTGACCCGGTCAATACCTGTGGGTTCGGATCCCGGTGAACCACGGGTCGACCCGGGCCCAGCCTTATCGCAAGATGACATCCTGTTCAAGTGGGTGTGAGATAGTAGCGGCAGGGGAATGGCGATATGCATACCAATCTTCTTGAGTTTCTCGCAGTTCCAGAAGTTGAAGAGATCATTGAGCGCGTCGTGCCGGGCCCCTGCAGTCATCTCGCGGGTGGGCAGACCTGCGATGTTGAGTTCTGCCCACGGCGTCTCGACACCCTCCCCGTGCGTCAACCCAAAGCCAGCAGTGTAGCACAGCGCGTACACAATCTGGCACAACTCCTTATGAGCGTGGCTGTGGAACTTCGGGAGACAGCAAAGGAGATCTTGTACTATCGGGACGAGCTTGGGGAAGTTGTCGCGGAAACGCGGGACAAGGTTGCGAAGGAACATGCAGATGACGTCATACGTGAACGCACGTTCAAGTAGTCCCTCCGTTCCTCGCAGCCCTCCTTGTAGAGCCAGATCCATGAGATGATAGCTACAGGCGCATGTTAGCTCCTCCGGTGAGGATTGAATAACTTGTAAGTGTACCGTTCACCCGTAATGAGATCCACAATTGCGCCCGAACGAAAGAAGACATGGCGGCAAGTCACAGCAACAATACCGCTAAGCTCCAGAAACCGAAACTTTCCCGGGCGCTGCGAGCGTGTGACAAGGAACCTGCTACATGTTTCCACCTGATGAAGTGGTTTAGCACTTACGGTACCGGCAGAAAGTTAGACTAAAGGCTTACCAGTTTAGTTGCATCGCCATCGTAGCACTTAGACACAATCTTGTGCATCAGTTCCGGGGTGACGAAGAAACCTTTGCCAGCAGCCAAACTGACGTTGTTGGGGTCGCTAAGCTTCTTGGCCTTCTTGTTGAGACTATGGTTTCCATCGCCGCCCAAGACGATGTGGTATATGTATCTGTGTGGCTGATGTGAGTGCGAGTCGGGCTCCGAAGGCGTTGACGTACCGTAAGTGCTCAGGTGTTTCTTTCCAATCATCAGGTAGGTTGAAGCCGGGAGACGGACACGTAACGCAGGGTACAGTGAGGTCTCCCTCAGGGCAGTTTGGAAGGGATAAGTTGTGGAAAATGCCTGCGCGCTTTGTCATTGTCAAATGCGCGTACAGGCGACTGACAATTCGAAACTCGCGGTAGCGATCCTGCATGAATACTGAGCTTCAGAACCGCAGACGGGCGTGGCGGAAACTCACCTTTGTATTGCGTGGAAAGGCGTTGTCGGAATTGCGAGCCATCCATCGCATGAAGTCATGCGTGCTGATCTTCGATGTCAGCCACAGTGTGTGCCAGCTACGCAGCAGGTTCGTTGTAAATCCGCTGTGAGGAGACATCCGCGTTGCAGGGAAGATCCGACTGCAAACAAGTTGCGCGATCGTCCCGGCACGGTCCGGGCAATGGCAGTAGTGGACCTTGCATTGATGGATTCCGTTCGTATGCCCTATAACGAAGTTTGCGGGCGTGGAGTTGGCCGAAAGATTGGTGCATCTCGTCCCGTTATGGCCCAGGTAGATTGTGTGGCCGAGTTCAGCGAGGTCGTGTCGAGTGTAGCGCAAACCGTTCCAGTGCTCAATCCAATGGAACCAACGAATTCGGTGGTCCTCGACGATGCACGTCTTACAGCGGGGAGCGTGATCTTCGCAGTCCGCACACCGATAGCGGGCTGGGGCGCTGCAAATACAGGGCTGAGTTGCCGGAGCCTCCCAAGTCAACATCTCCTCCCCAAGCATGCTGAAGTCGTCCTTCCACTCTTTCAAGATATCCGAGATGGTTTTCTTAAGGGGTATAAGATCAGTGCATTTATGAATTGTAAGATGTTACGCACCTGCTTCTTTCGTGCCTTCGCTGTCTTGGGCAACGGCGCATCCATGTCCACCCATTCGCCACCATCCCCCTCCACAGGTGTAGCAGCTTCACATGAGTGGCTCGCGGGGCAAGGGAGACCGTCGGTCATGGGCGTAGTCGTAACACTGAGATCCTCGGCCACTGGTTCGAGTCGAGCGCGCTTCGGTGACGGTGGAATCACATCGTAGAGAAGGTTCTGCTCGACCGGTCGCAGACGTCCGTCGGCCCCCAGGGCGGACGAAGTCTCCACCACCGTCAGACGAGCAGCCTGCTTCGGCGCGAACTTGACCTTTGAAGACTTGCCTCGCACCCGTCGGAAAGCAGACTTGCTCGCTGGTGGGGGCATGGCTAGGGCGTGGAGGGAGCGAGTGAGGCTAGGGCGCAAATGACGAGTGAGCAGAGGTTGGGAATAGAGGTGAGCCACATCCCTTAGCTTTGTACTGACGGGGCCCAAGCCCGGTGGCTCGCAGTGGCTAGTGCGAGCACAATGCAACCCTGTAGTGAAACACTCAAGCCACCGCATTATCTTGCGGGCTTAGTCTCCGCTTGGCCTATTGTCTAGGTGATGCGTCAGCGGCCTATACATTGCATATGGACAAAACTCTACGTAGTAACAGACAAAATACAGCTAATGTATTTACTCGACATCTCCCAGGAACGCGTGAGGTACGATAGGAGCACGTCCAGAGTACTCGAAGAACGTGTGTACGTAGAATGAGACAATACATTTCTCGATGTCCTCGATCTCGACATGACCAGTGGCCGTAGTGACCGGCGGGCTAGAAAAAATATCGTGCGGGCAAAGGGGCCACCGAACAACAACTCGGCGGAGTGCTTCGAGCGAAGCGGCGCATGCGAGGGAGACGTTTGCGGAGAGGCCGAGATGTGATCGTTTGGTGGGCAGGGAGCGGAGCTGGAAGAGGTCGTTTCCGTGGAACACGCCGGCCAGGAGTTCCTCGCGCAGTGGCTCGGCGTTGGGGTGTGCACGAGGAGGCACCAGAACACGCCAAACAGCATGGCTGACGCTCGAGACTCGAGTCTCTGCTATGGTGCAGCGGCACGTCCCCTCTCGACGGCGCATGAACGGTGCCTTACATTCTTGCCCTCTTGGTGCCGGACATGAACCCCAGCCGAGCTTCGGACGAACCACACGCCACACCGTGACCGCTGTGTTGGAGGTCATACGTACATCGATCATGTCGATCTGTTCGGTAACGCTAACTAGTCCACAGTGCTTCGGAGTCGATGGTGTCCGCTGCATGTACAACCTCGCACCGCTGGATGTGCAGATGTCGCCTCGCGAGAAACAAAGCTGTTTTGAAGAACTGGCGAACCTGTCTCCACCGGGCTACGGTGATATCCACTTCACTCGGTTTTGTCTCGAGCAAGCTAGGGAGGCCGCTCGCGAACGCACCGAAGCGGCCTCTGTCCCGCGTGTAGCACGTAGCGTCAGTGTGGGTGGCGGCGGCGTATTTCGCCTGCTACTTCCGAGTCCCGCGGTGACGCATCGCTCCGGACGCTCCGCCATGTCGCTTCCAGTCACTCCTCGTGCTCGCCGTGCTACTACAGGTAGTACACCAAAATCTGTGGGCCGCCCTGCACTGCCCAGGCGGGAGGTTACTATTTACATATATCTCTGCGTAAGTCTTAATGCTCGCCCTACGTAAACTACGCTGATCTTCATACAGGATGGCAAATCTCCTCTCGTCATCACAGCGGATGGCTTGTTCGACGACGGCCTCATCAAATTCCGTCTGAACCAAGACTCAATCAAGAATGCGCTTGCAAATCATCCGGACGGCCGCAATCGACTCCGGCTGCATATGTGGAGCCACGACCATCGCAAGTTTGTTCAGTGTCCTCGCAACGATACTCAGAATCTCCTACCGGGCGAAGGGCGTCTGTACCGCAAAGTTGGTGTCACAAACCTCGTCAACTTTGCAACCTACGAATCCCGAGTATTGCCGCCCAATTGCCGCACCATCCCATCCCTGAATAGCTACGCTGCAGCTACGTTCATGCGATACTCCTCGCCGCGGCCTTCTTCCCCGTCCTCTTCGGTTGCAGAGGCTGTCTCTGATGCCCCGACGTAAGGCTGCACATAGGTTGATCCATAGGTGATCTGGACCTGTACCTACAGGTATTTGCAGATCACAAGCCTTGATCTAGAACTGGCATTGATCCACATACCAGGTACCTGTGATCTAGTGACCTAGACCTGGTATCTGCAGGTCAACCTACATGTGATCTGTGTTTGTATGTGTCCTATTGTATGTAAAACAAATTACTATCCCAGGATATGATCAACACACCCATAAACACTACAACTGGCTTACCTTTCAGGTGTAGACTAACACACATTCCAAAACTTCAATATACCTTCATGATTCACAAATGGGGCTTGTGCAATGAGTGGAAAGACAATAAAAGACTAGGAAAAAATATGATAAACATATACCACAAACCAAAGTTACATGTGCATTCCTGAGATAGACAAGGCTTGTGCCCTGATACAATGCCTTGAAGTCTTCCAAATGGTTGTGCCAACATTGAGAAAATGTAATGTTTTATGTAGATTGTATATAATTCTGGACTTGTTCAAGCCACAACACCTGAGTAATGCTTGGGCTGTAGCTGGATATGTGAATTCTACTGCACTACACTACACATGATACATTTTCCTTACCAATCTACACTGTAGTCAGCTTATATTTTCAATATACAGATCATACAGGTCAGCTTTCTAGGTCAATGATTTCTGCCAGCTTTGATCTAGAGCTGGGGCTGATCTACATACTAGGTACCTAAACCCAGATGACCTGAACCCACAGGTTATTTTTGGGTCAGATCAGGTCAACCTATGCAGTGACCTGAACCTATGTGCAGCCTTATACAGGAAGAGGCGCAAGGCCTCCCAGATTCAGGACTTTCGTGCGAACGGGGAGTTGGACGACTCCGACGTGATCGAGCTCACCGATAGCGATGACGACGCAGTGCCTTACTCCAGCGGGGCTGGCTCCTCACGCTCTTTGACGTGTTCGGAGGTCATTATCTTATCCGATTCAGATTGACCGTCAGGTAATTGATTTGTCCCATTGTTGATCGTCATATATGTATATTACATCATGTAGTTCGTACTTTATACGGAAATTTAATGCAGACATAGCCCATCCTACGTCACGATACCCCTGTCGGTAGTTGATTATGCCTGTAATAGCTTATTGTGTCTCAGAGCTGGTGTGGCGCACCTTTAGAGACAAAGCGGAGTGCTGCGGTAGCGGAACGGTCACGGGACCGCGCTGGAGAACGCGTCCAGCATTGTCCTCTGATGGCTAGGGCAGCAGGGTGTAGCTATTGAACTACAGGGGCCGGCCTCGGATGCCCTCAAGCCACGACCTCACGTCCTTGTCAACCCCAACACAACGTCAAACTACACTATCAGACATTGACATTCCTACCACGCTCTCCCCACCTGGCCATGGTGCTGCCTTCAAAGTCTACGACTAAAGCAATGTCCTCAAAATCACGCTCGAAGCCGTACGAGTCCGACCCTGATGAAGAAGGCTCGTCCAGTGACAAATCTATCGGTCCCACACCTCCTCGCAAACGAATCTTCAAGCGACGAGTGGTCGAATCCGACGATGAATCCGACGACGAGTCAGGCGACGGGCCCTCCACCAAATCCACCCTGTCTACTGCTACTGTCCCCGCCGACACTCCCAAGCCGAGGAAGAAACGCGGCAAGGGTAAACCTAAAGTGGTAGAGCCCTTGATTTCCAATGGGGAGGATACTGGCCGCCCCAGTAAGGCCCCCGTGTGGAGTGGTGCACCGAGGCTCACGCTGCGGTGCAAGCCTACCTAATTTCGCAGTACAAGGACTGGAAAGCAAAGACGGAAGGCAAGGAGCGCACCAAGTTCGCGGGCACGGTCGCGGACTACGTTTGCAAACATTACAAATTCCCGAACCACCCGGGGGAGGATGTCAGGAATGTGAGTAGCCTCATATTTATGCTCGTGCTCTTCTAACATGTGGCTATAGGCTGTACTCAACTGGTTCAGTAACCATAAGCACGACGGAGACCCAGAGGCGAAGACGGGTGCCAGAGATCGCAAGCCTGCAAAGATGCACACCCTCCTCGCGAATATGCGCGGCCGCGCACCCTCTGCATCGTGGCTGTGGGCGCGGGCCCACCGCAAGACCGTCGATGATGCTCTCAGCGACGGTGATATCGGTGATCGTCAGAAGGTGGTTGCTCGGCTTTTCTCCAAGCTTCCGGATGCGAAGCAGCGACACTGGAGGCGTAAGGCAGCCGAGTTCAAGGAGGCCAAAGCCTCTGACCCAGACCAATGTTACATGTATGTCGATCTTCTTGAGTCCATCCTCATGTTGCTCACAGCATAATCAGCAATCAAGCGGGCATCGGCGAGGTGCTCGCAGATACCTTACAAAGCCTGGTTGGGTTTGGACCGGACAACATCAGGACAGCCATCTTCCACCTCCAGTTTGCTATGTGCGATAGCGGTGGCAAAATTGAAATGGACGAGTATGCATTGCACCTTTCCATTCCTACATCGATCACTAACAGTCACACAGGTTCTGCGCCGGTGATATGGTCGATGGGGTGTCCTTCGAGGACTTTGAAGGCGGTCATCCTGATGGCGAGAAAGATCGGTGGGCGCGTTTCGTGCGCGGCGCACTGCGTATGTGCCACATAACTATACATTGACCTTGTGCTAACCTGTCTGAAAGTTCCAAACCCGCAACGACGCGATCCCAAGCTCGACTACGACCCCTCCGGCTGTCCGCTGCTTCCGGCGTGGGACGATGACTGGAACAAGGTGCAGGCTGCGGAGGTACTCAATGCCTTCCTAGCTGCTGTCTGGGGTAGGTCAATGGTCTATGTATCACATCCGCTTAGCTGATCTTCTAATGCAGCCTACGTATACAACGAGAACCCCCCAATGCCCCTGGATATGGGTGCAATCTGTTCAACGCCCGAGCGCTACCCTCCGCGGCCGTGGCGTACCATGCAACTTGGAGAACCAAAGGACCTCAAGATCAATGAACTCGTGCACCTCCACGAGCGCATATATGATGCGCAAATGGGCGATGGCCCATTTGTGCTCTTGCGTAGTGATGAGGCGGAGGCATCACCGCCGAACAACCTCAGCACCCCCACTACGCCTACCATCAAACGTATTGCGATGTTGGTCTCGCCCGCCCGAATGAGTCGAGTTGCGACACCACACCTTGCGACACCCTTGCACACGCCAAGCCGCTTGTTCGGAGGGACACCGGGTGCACCCTCGCTGCCCACCATTCTGGAGGATGTTCCCGCCGAGGTTGTTGATAACAAGCCAACGCCCTCCGTGTCTCCACCCGTGGCCAGCACCATCGTCGAGCTGCCTGCAATCTCAGGTCCCCCGCCCTCCACGAGCAACACAGCGCAACCATCCAAAGCGGAGATAAACGACATGGACACAGCGGCGAACCGTGAAGGCGAAGACAGCGCAGGTGTGGACCCCGCGGAGGACACTGTGGGGCAGCAGGATGCGAGTGTGGACGCAGTGGTGAGTGCTGCAAGGGCGGACAGCGCAGCGGAGGACCTCGGCGCAGCGGAGGACCTCGCAGGCGAAGGCACTGCCAACGAGGAAGATGTTGCGGGGGTTGATTCCACGCTTGAAGAGGAGGAGCCGCAGCCCGTGGTTGCCACACGCAAGCGCAAACCCGCAGGTGGCAGCAGCGGTAGGGTTGCGAAGAAACCTCGAACTGAGGCCCAACCGGCCAGTACGAGGTGCGTTTGTGCAAAACTGTTCTTTGATGTGATGGAAACTGACAGCCCTTTAGACAGCGTGATCAAGCTGCACGTTCTGCACCAACCACTCGAGCTCGGACGCTAGCAGTGATGACCCAGCGCACGGCGCGCAAGCAAGGCCAGAGTACGACACGTACTAAGTCGAAGAGATGATGAGCAGCTCATCGGTGACTATATTGATCTAATGGACAATCATTTGCTGCTAATATGTCGTTATTAGTAGCTCATGAGCTCAGACTACCTGTCAATCATCGCCCAATTATCTCCCAATTATCTCCCAATTATCACGTCTGTTGATGTTGTCCATTTGCAATTACCTCTTAGTTACTTTGTACGTTCCTATACACTGCATGGTTCTGTTTCTTTACTCCCGCACAGTCTTGTTGTTGTCCTGCTGTATCACTACGACTACAATACACTTGATCATCACTGGAGATAATCTGAACTTCACACCGCACAGACACACCGCGGAAGACCTTGGAATTATCTCCAATTATCTCCGAATTATCTCAATATGTCCTGCAGATTCATTAAAAGCTATAACATCTACATGTGTGGAGTCATAGCAGATTTGCACTAACTAATGAAAGAAAATAATCGAAGGGAAAAAATACTTGTGGTACAAGGAGCTGACACCGCCGCTGAAGATCACCGCTGCGGACGGCCACACCTTCGACGCCATTGGCAAAGGCAGTGTCTGCATCAAGATCCCGAACAGCGAGACAGACACCACCGTCACGCTCAAACGGGTCTTCCATGCACCCGACATTGCGTTCACGCTCATCTCAATCAGACGCGCGGACGAGTCGGGATATTCGGCTGTCTTCGAAAACGGCGAATGTCGGATCTTCCGACGGAGCACCGGGACGACCGTCGGTCGTATCCCACTTTCGAACGGACTGTATCAGGTCCGCTACCAGGACGTAGCAGCTGCCGCTGGCTTCAGGAAAGGGCCTGTGCTCGAGCTGACGAACCTGGAGCTTCACCGCCGGCTCGGGCACATCTCTCAACACGTGTCCCAACGGATGGTGCAGCGGGAGCGCATTCGCGGTGTGAAGCTGACGGACGACTCCGCCGACGACGTCTGCGAGACCTGCGTCAAAGCCGAGATCACTCACACGCCTGTCCTGGACAAGCGCGAAAGCGACCTCGCGGAGGAATACGGCGATGTCTGGCATGCTGACACGTGGAGCGCAGAGCACACGTCCTTGGGCGGCAACAAGTACGCGTCCATGTGGACCAACGACAAGTCCCGCTGGATTCGCACGGTGCCCCAGAAGGAGAAGAGCCAGGTGTTCCCCGCCTACAAAGCACTCGAGGCGGAGCTCGAGACGCAGGAAGGCCGGCGCATCAAGATCCTCCAGACCGATAACAGCGGAGAGTTCTGCAGTGCCGAGTTTGAGGCTCATCTCAAGTCGAAAGGCACCAAGCACCGCACGTCCATCCACGACACGCCTGAGGAAAATGGCGTGGCCGAGCGGATCAACCGCACGCTCTCTGAACACGCTCGTGCGATGCTACTCGATGCGGACTTGCCCAAGACGCTCTGGACGTACGCCATGCTCCACGCAACCTGGCTCAATAATCGCACTGCAACCCGCACCCTCAGCGGACTCACACCGTACGAAGTACGCTTCGGCGAAGCGCCGGATCTGCGTGACCTCCACTGCTTCGGTGCGAAGGTCTGGGTGCGTAAGGAGAAATCTGCAAAGATGGACAGCAAGGCACGCGAGGGCCGCTTTGTCAGATACAACAACACCAGCAAGGGCTATCGCATCTATTGGCCCGACAAGCGGTCGGTCACGGTCGAGCAGAACATCCGCTTCATCGATAGTGAGCCGGATGTTGAAGGCAACGACACACCGCTCGAGGGGGTGAGCAAGGTGGATGGCGAGCAGCCGTCGCCTTCTCCCGCACCCTCTGCTTCCGTTCCCTCTGTGCCGACCAAACCTGCCTCGCCCATGTCTGCCCCGCACGAGGCCACTCCCCCTCCCGAGCCGACGTCTCCCGCACACATGCCACAGACAACTGTCGAGGATGTGCCGGACGAAGACGACAAGCTGGAGGAGATTGCCCCACCCGAGCCTGCCTTAGGCCGCGGCCAGCGTGTGCGCAAGCCGTCTGCATACGTGTGCCACCTTGCGCAAGGCAAAGGCACAGCCGACAGACGCCAGACCTACCCCTGCGGCATTCAGCCAAGTGAGCTCATGGGTGCTGCAACGACGACGACCACATTGTGCATCACGGACGAGGACAGTGATGACTATGTTGTGGTCGAGTCCGACGACAATGAAGTCGTGATGGTCCCCAATGCTGCCCTTGTGCTGCAGGAAGGGCAGGACCCGTGCAACCTTGCAGAAGTGCAGGCGTCCCCCGACTGGCTGCACTGGAAGGCTGCGATGGAGAAGGAGATCGCCAACTTGTGTGAGCACAACACGTATGACCTGGTCGAGCCACTGAGCGGCGCCAACATTGTCAGCAGCCGATTTGTCTTCCGCATCAAGCGTGACGCAGACGGCTCAATCACGCAGTACAAGGCCCGCCTGGTGGTGCAAGGGTTCACACAAGTCCCCGGCATCGACTTTAATGAGACCTTCGCGCCTGTCGCCAAACTCTCGTCCATCAGGACACTTCTGGCGCTTGCCGCCCGCTACGACTGGGAGCTCGAGCAAATGGATGTCAAGTCTACCTACCTCAACGGGAAGCTGGACGAGACGATCTATATGCGGCAACCTCCCGGCTCCGCTGTCGACGGGCAAGAGCACCTCGTATGCAGCCTCAAGAAGACCCTGTACGGGCTGAAGCAAGCCGGTCATGGCTGGTACAAGACACTCTCCGAGGCGATGGCCGCCATGGCCTTCACACACTGCGCATCCGACCACGCAGTCTGGTACAGACATGACGGCGAGTCGGCTATCATTGTTACATCTTCAGTTGACGACCTCACAATCACAGGCACGCCCGACTTTGTTGGCTTGTTCAAGCTAGACATCAACTCCCGCTTCAAAATGAGTGATCTTGGTGCCATGCGCTGGATTCTCGGGATCGAGGTGAAGCGTGACCGTGAGGTGAAGACGATCGCAATCTTGCAGTGGTCATACATCGACACGATCGTCGCTCGCTTCAACCTCGAGGACGCCAACCCGACACCCACGCCCATGCAGCCAGGCGGTGCGCTCGGACAGCATCAGTCGCCCACCACCCCGCGCCAATTTGAGGACATGCGGGATGTCCCGTACTGCGAGGCAGTCGGTTCGCTCATGTACACAGCGACTGGCACGCGGCCGGACATCATGTTCGCCGTCACCGCCCATTTGCAATTCATGCAGAACCCAGGCTGTCCGCATTGGGAAACCGTGAAGCGCGTCTTACGCTATCTCAAGGGCACGCGCGAGCTTTGGCTTGTGTACGGCAGCAAGCGCGAGGGCCTCCAAGGCTATTCGGATGCCGACTGGGGCTCGTCGACCAAGCACCGGCACTCAATCAGCGGCTATGTCTTCACGCTTGACGGCGGCACCATCTCGTGGTCTGCCAAGAAGCAAAACGTCATCACCCTCTCGAGCATGGAGGCGGAGTACATTGCCCTCACGCACACCGCCAAGGAGGCGATTTGGCTCCGCTACGTTCTTGCCGACATCTTGCACGCCGACATCGCCTCGTACCCCGTCACTCTCCATTGCGACAACCGCTTGGTGATCGCGCTCGCCAAAGACAACGCCTACCACCCGCTCACCAAGCACATCGATATTCATTTCCATTTCATTCGCGAAGTGGTCGACGACGACAAGATCTCCCTCGTGCATTGCCACACCGAGGACATGCCGGCCAACCTCTTCACGAACGCCCTGCTGCGTCCACGCGTCGAGCACCTCTCTGCGCTCTTCGGCCTGCGCTCGCTTTGAGGGGGTGTGTTGTAATCGGACGTTTACTATACCACATTGCGGACTTACAATTTACTACTTACTCACTTATACGCTCGTTAGCTTACTTTCAAAGTGATCGCATCTCTGACGCTCCGTTCGCGCCCGAGCGGCCGCGCTCTCATATACTCGAGCGCGCCTGCTCTGCCACCTCATCGTTCACTCCCACGAACGCTGAGGTGAGATCCCATTCTATTGCCCCCGTCACTCATTCATGCTGACGCTCTCGCGTAGTTAATCTATCCGTTCCTTTCAGGTATCTACAGATGTACATCGTTCGCTCCCACAAACACTGAGTTAATCTATCTGTTCCTTTCAGACCTCCCGCTCGTGCTCGTAACCTCGCAGCAAAGACGGATGCACGGGTCGCTCCTGCACTACCATAGCATTGATACCTCTCAATATACATGTTTTGTATGATAATGATAATGGTGCAGTGAATGACTCGCACGATGTTGCACAAACGAATCGGAATGTGTAATGGGCGCTTCGCGCGCCATTACTTCGCTTACATAATCGTACTGTACATGTCCGTTGCGCGTCCCCGACGCGCTCTTTGTCTTCGCAACGCCAGTACTACGCAGCCTCTACGCTTAATCCTAGCCCTTGACCCTCGGAGCGACCGCCGCGCGCCTCGTCTCGTCCGTCTCGCGCCGCTGCGCATTACAGAATGCCCTTGCGCGAACGAGTCCTTATGGATGACATAATCATGTCTGCGTTAGGTAGCTACTAGATTAGGATTTAAAGTTTGCGGCGGAAAGAGGCCAACTCTTTTCGAGGTTGGAGTAGCGAAAAGCTCGTCTGGTTGCCCCCTGCTCCACCCAACCCAAGGAAACGGTGTCACCACGTTTCGAGTAAGACAGATATATTTCCTATCGGAAACTAGCTACAGTCGTTTGCATAATAAACTGTAGTGTCGCGCGCCGCGAGAGCCTATTTGTTCCGAACAAACAAAGCCCAATTCCGATTCCACTAGGAATCGGTCTTGCTTGTGAGAAATGGCTCGGTCACGTGAATCCAGGCGCACCCGGCTTCGTCCGCGGGTTTCCGTAGTTTCCCTTTACTTTAGAGCGCTTGATTCAGCTTGTCTTTGTTTGTCTTTTGTGGCGTCGTATACCCCGACGTCTTGGCCAAGCTTTAGCCTTCCTTGCCTCCGTCTCCATCGTCTCCAGTTGTGTTTCTGCAGGTTGACGAATGCCCTCAACCTTCTACAGGCTTGCTTGTATATTGCGGGTGGGCAAGCATTATCATCAGCTCCACGGTACGCGCTTTGGTCGCATCTAGGACTAGTTTCATCTGATGACCCGTTGCTATCCAGCTCAATGCATGGAAACCTTATATATAGATATTTATGTAGCCACAGACATCATTCCGCCGCACGATTTCCTCGCTCGTTGTGTGAGCTGTATGCAGCTTGGTAGCCACAATTTATTGGAGCTTTTCAAGCACCAAGTCTAACACGCAGCGTCGTATGTGCGGTCGTTCAACCGCCCCCGGCGCATTCTGTGCACCACACGGCGCCGGCTCCATGGCCCATCCCGCCCACCACTGCACAATAGCCCAAGAAGCTGACCTGAGCACGAAGAGATCTGCCTGTAGGGCGCCCCGGCACCCTACGAACAGCAACGGTCATGTTGCTTTGTGAGCGGCATTGTGTGGGGTAGACACGCCCGGGCACCGTACGTACCCATTGCTTTTGTGGCGCCTTCCTACATGGAACAAGGTTTATGCATGGTTGCTGGCACGACCCGCAAGCTGCAGTATGCGGAATCATCCCTGTTAGTAGACTCTTTGCAGACCGTCCATCTTAGCTGGGGACCGACACCGCCCATCTGGTGTATGAGATTGCAAAAAGTGTCGCCGCAGGCTGCCCATACCTATATTCCTGATCAAACGCCTGTCCCGTACAGCTGAGCGTTGTTTTATAGTAAGTCAAACAAATAACATTAATTTGTGCGATATCTGGGTCACTTCCTGTGGAATCGGACCTGGCGTGCGCAGCATCGCCGTTCACCCTCAAGTATAGTATGTCGGGTGCTTGATCAGCAGAACATCGCCGACCATGATACTACCATTACACTGTTTTTCCTCCACAGAGGCCATAATTTGGTCGTGCTGTACAGAGTAACACTTGAAGAATGTTGGCCACTTCCAAGGGAGGTCAGCATGTACCGCAAGGACGATTTAGCCTTACAAGATAAGACCGCTCCAGGTCATATCTTGATCAGGCGCCAATGTTTACTATATCGGGCTTTATTTGTTCTGAACAAACAGGCTCTCGCGGCGCGCGACACGGCAGTTTATTATGCAAACGACTGTATTAGGAAGCTCGCGATTTGCCGACCCCTGCGTCGTCCTCGAGTGTTCGAATCCAGCAACCCCCCTCACTTCTTACCGCAAGCCATGCCGAACACCCATCTCCTCCCGCAACACACCCTCCTACATTACGCCCGCTCGACTCGCCGAAATTCTTACGCATGAGTGTATTGCCCACTTAGACCCGCCACGTAAGTACTAGTGTTCAGACTACAAACATCGTCGACTCAACTGCTTCGTAGTCCCCGACGAACATGACGAGCCAATGTGACCGTGGCCTACATCTACTTATATTGACGTATCAGGTTCTGGACCGCGCGCCGATCTCATACAACTACGAGGACGCGTGGCTAATCACCGCGTACATCCGGTCCGCGATGAAAGGATTTCGTCGCTCTAACGCAAAAACGCTAATGGTACGCCCTCGCCTCCTGCTTCAGTCCGACTTGGCGTTGATATCTTTCCAACCTTTCCCGATGCGTAGCACTGCTCCAGCGCCCTCTCGCCGAATTTGCTAGAGTCCCACGGACCTTGTACAGACGTAGCCGCACTCACTAGGCGGCTCTATGCCGCCCTCCTCCCCTTCGCCCAAACGCTACGCGTCCGCAGCCACCCTCGAAAGCGTCTCGCACGCGACGCCCGCTCATTCCCGAGTTGTCCCAGGCAGCAGCGTCGTGCGCCTCGTTGCGTCCGCTTCACCCTGCGCCGATGCGGAGCGCCTCGCGTCCGTTGTAACGTCTCTCGACGTTACGAACGCGTCGTACCTGCGCGTGTTCGGCAAGTTGCGCACGGGCGATGCGTGGCTGGAGGAGCTCCGCGTCGTGGGATGGCTGACGGAGATCCAGTTCCGCACGGTGCGTGAGTTGTTGGAGCGCGTTACTGAGAGACTGACTTATGTCGAAGGTTCTGCATTGCGTCCATTCGAAGAGAATGGTCAGCGCAACGGGGTAGGAGAGCAGGGCGCGAACATTTGCGGGATGGCGGGGCTGATGTGATGCGTACGCGTGTTGTAGGTGAAAACATGCTCTACGTGGCGATGATATACAAGGAATGGGCTGATTTGTACGACATGTATTTCAACATGAAGTTTTGGTGGGGGTACGTTCATGGTGCTTCAATCACAAAAACGTCCCAGTACTCGTACGAATATCGCCTTCACGCTCCCGGCTTCGCCACGAGACGTCCCGTGTCACAGCATTTCAACTCGCTACATCACCGAACACCTAGGTGGATTGTTTCGGCTCAAGTTTTGGGCGGGGGTTTATCGAAGACGCTTGACACTGTCAGGGCCACCACATGTCCACCTTTCCGCTGTGAAGGATCTGACTCGAGTCTCATCGCTGCCTCTCAGGCTACCTCGAGGACGCGCCGGGCGTCCTCGGAGGACAGACACCGTGTTGTGGTAGCTTGCGGCGCGTATAAAGACGATAGCTACAGCGAAGCATATGAGGCCGGTCCCCGTACCGAGAGTTCTGCCTGGTGCGTTGCACCACACCACACGAGCGAGGATCGCGAGGCTACAAGAGCATATGAGCCTCAAAAGCAAGTGTCATATTGCTCGTCAAGATGATTATGGTACGTGGCGGTATGGATGTATAATCGGCGATGGATGTGACTTATTGCCCTCTATACATAGAAGATGATACGGTGCACTGCCGCGCGACACGTCAGTCGCTAAGCTATGTCTGGTAGGACCGTGATGATGGGGTGAGCCAGAACTCTCAGACTGTTTCCTGCAGAATATATCATTATCCGTATCATCCTCGGAATAGGTAGGTTAAGGAACCTGGCGAGGGCAACATTCAGCACTGACATACACACCGGCAACAATAACGGTGGCTTACCCTCAATTTCGAAAAATCGTCTCTGAGTAGCCCGTATGAGAAGAATAGGACATACTCTGATAGCGCGTCCGTGTAAAGAGCTCTCTGTTCATGGTAGTGTCGGACAGTTCTGTGGCCCGAGAGCTCAAACGACAGACGCTCGAGCACTATAGGAACCCCTAGTGCTTCTCTCCTATGTCGCAGGCATTCGACTACCGCGGGAAGAAGTGTCCAGTCGTGCGCGTCGAAACCCTCCACACACAGCTTCTGCAGTTGCGGGAGAATCAAGCGCTCCCCATCCGGTGTGGCGGCCGGCGTGCCGCGAGGGTCGAGGCCAGAGAACAGAAACGTCGCTTGCGGATCGACACCCTCTCCGGAGATGGTGAGCTCGTGCAACACAGTGAAAGGCACAAATGTCTCGCGCCAGTCAATGAGGTGACACCAGCTCGGCTCTATATCGATGCGCAGAACCTCAATCGGAGCACCGCGGCAGATATCCACGAAGTCCTCGAGAAGAGACCCGCCGTCTTCGTACTGGTAACTGTTGGGGATCTCCAAAGAGAGGCGAATACGCCCATCGGCCGGTTTAAAGGGTGCCAAAGGAGCGAACACCTCCACGGTGTGAACGTCTCTGAGCGCTCGTACCAGTGCCATGCTTGCGCAAGAGAGAATCGGCAGGCCTGTTCTGTCGACGGGCAAGGTGGCGCGAACGCCGCGAAGCAACGCCTCCTCGATACCTCGTGTTACAATGGTAGTGACCCTTCTATGGATAAGAGTCGTTGTAGTGGTAGGGATGGCGAACGCGGAAAGGATGTGCTGTAGGACCTCGTCTTCAGAGGCGTCCAATTCGAGATTCCTGAGGCGTGGTAGAGGAGCACGAGCGGGCTTCCAATCGGGGTCGCTCTGGATCCGGAATAGCATGCTGGAGAGCAGAAGGTCCTCCACGCCGACGAGTTCCTGAAGGAAGATGCCGAGCGTCCTCGCAGGGACAGCACCTATGCCAAGCCATCCGTATAGGCGCAAGACCTTCAGTTGCCGAAGAGCGGTGGTTTGTAGCAAGTGAATGCCGCTAATGTCGACGCAAGTCAGTTTCGGGAACCGTTCCGGGGTGCAATCTAGCACCGAGTCCTCGCTGGTGTCCAAGAGATAGTTTCCCACCCTAGCCTGAAACGTTTCCAGCGCGGGTAGTGTGTTCTTCATGAACACGGCGAGACGAGGAGCTTCGTCACGCGCAACTCCCAGCAGATAGAGCGTCCGAATCCGGTGGATGTGAGGAACGAGGAGGGGCAGGACATGGGATACGATGGACGTTTTTTTGGAGACGTGAACGTCGATCTTCATGCATTTGGAGCGAGCGAGACATGTGCGGATGTAGTTCAAGCTGGTATCCGCCCACAAGAAACTCCATAATCTTGGATTACTGGCGCCTACGGAATACCAGTGTCGACAAACTTGAAGGCAAGGGATCCAGCGAAGGCGAGGCGTGTCCACGTTCGCGACATCCTGTGTGGCTTCGAAGATGGCAGAGAGTAGCTCGACTGGCAGTCTGTTGATACGAACGAAAGTATTGAGCAGAGCATTTACGCTCATAAGCTCTCGTTCAAGCCCTTCTCTCCTTTCCAACAACAGTGCATGGGAGTCACCGGAAGGTGTGCGTAGAAGAGGTTTGCCAGCTGCAGAAGGCGAGCTGAGGTCATTGCTGGGGCTATTCCACCCTTGTGCTCTCTGAATAGGCGATGGAACTTGATCCTTGGTTCGTAAGTGCGACCTAGAGCATAGATCAGTGATCGGAGTTGGCCCGGACGCGTCTGGTAATGAACATCACCCACTGTGCGTGCGTCACCACATTTACATCTGCGCTCTCCAGTGGTCCGCCGTTGGTGCTGCTTAATGATATCTTAGCAGTTTGTAAGGCGATAGCAGCTACACTTCTATACGTACAAGCATTTTGTTGTTGAGTTCTCGAACATAAGTTGCTCCGGCAGACGTGGTCCCAAGAGTACTCGTGGCGGTCAAGTACAAGCCCAACGAGAAGCGCTTGCCACGAAGCGTGGCCGACTTGTCCACGCGAGCGTCCAGCTGCAGGCAAGCCGTTCGACTTTCTTGGAACCGACGCGGAGCCGTCCCATGTTTGAATGAACTATCATCAGCTGTCCCAAGCAACTGAATCCGATGAGAGTCAATGAGACATAACTGAATGTCAGGTAATAATGCGCAAGATGTCGGGCCAAGTGCCAGTAGTTGAATCAAGATGTTCACACATTTAATTGAGCCGGATCCGGAGCCTACGCTATGACGGCCAATCTGCACATCTATCATTTTGAGGCAATTAACTGTCGACCCAACCCCGCTTTTATAAACCTTTCTTATAGCCAGCGCCCCTTCATAACGCCCTTAGACAGAGTTCTCCTTACTGGTATGCTGCGTGAGCACGCTTTCTCTGTTCCGCTTTCTTGAACGATGGCTCATCAAATGGCAATCTTGATCGCGATTTACCTCTAATACAACGACGATCTTATTGATGGCGAACAGCAAGCAAAGCTGGTCCATCATACTACTATATGTTATTATGGTGGACAGAGAAGTGTCCATCCGGTGCCGCTCAGACTCATGTCCACCCAGCGCGAGCCTTCCGGCGGTGCCGTCCCATTCAAGACCCATCCGAGTCCGGCCTTGACCAGCAATGTTGTCATCGTGGTAGCTTTCCCGGCCTTGACGAGCTTGCCGACAACGAGGTGTACCGAGCGCGGGATGAGGATGTCCGAGACCTAGTGAATTACACCCGTCTGCGTGAGCATGTTGTGCGTGTTCAGCTCGGCCTGCATGTCTGGCCATCCCCCGCCTGGCGCGAAGAGAACTGTCTGGTTCACCCCCCGTTGTTCGATCTGTAGGTTCGAGCCCTCAAGTGTTGCGAATGTGCGCTGTGAGTCCTCGATAAGCGTGTCCGCGTACTCGACACCGATGACCACGTGGTGTCGTATAACGTGCTCGAGATCGGCCTTGAAAGAGGACGCAAGCAAGTAGTCGAGAGCAGCCCGAGGCGCCGGAACGCGCCGTTTGGCGGCATGAGCACCATCGTCCGCAGTGTCGCCTCGAGCGTCCCAGCGAGTTTGGTGGAAAAGAGGCCGGCGAGGAAAGTAGACAGCTCGAGTTCGGGCAGCGCGGTCTCCATCACGTCTGCCGGCAAAATCAAGGGACGGGAGACAGAACGGCGAGTTGCGGTGCACATACACGAATCCGTACTTTACAGCGCCACTTCGAAGTTACTGCTTCACAGGTTCAAGATGTAAGCTTCAGCGACAGTATTTCTCGGTGTTGGAGGACTGAGCGAAGACCTGCAGCCAGCGCGTGCCCTCGTGCGCCTTGTCAAGATGGAGCGCGAGCACACCATACGTGCCTGTCGCAGCGCGGTCGAATGCTTACACGCTCGTGCCGGGCAGGATGGGGATGGGCGAGTCTGCGGAGTCTTCGACGAGCACGGTGAGCGTGCATGGGGAGAATGTGGCCTTGATGCATTCTTGAAGCGTGTCCAAGGGAAGCGGGGGCTTGGGCATGTCAGAGGCGATAGGATATGTGGGCGCACCGTCAGGATTCCCGCCTTCACGTGTGATTGGCGCAAGCTCGTCCACAGAGGGTTCGTATGCGGGCACAGGCGCAATAGTTAGGGGTAGATATAGCAAGCTCCTGACAAACAGAAAGGGGCCTGCCGGGATGTGTCGTACGCAGTGTAGAGCAGGACGGCGCCCGTACTATCCAACTTGTAGAGGCTGAGCGACGGGCGACGGGAAGTGTGTACTATACGATCTGAACGTCCGGGACGTCAAAAGTAACCGGGAGAGCTTTGTGGGTGTTCTGGAGAGGCTCGGGCGCGTTGGGGGGTGATGCGCGGCGGAGAGAACGGACAGGATGCTCTTTCCATTGGAGGAAATTGCTTGGTGCAGCCGGAAGGGCACCGAGGGGTAGGCAGATTCGTATGCGGACAGGATGGCGAGCTCGTAGGAGGTAAGAATGTGAGCAGCGCAAGATTCACAGAGGCTGAGGGGGTACAGTGCGCCATATCCGTCTGTCGCCAGGAGGGAGGTCGTGTCCACAAATGCGGCGGACAGATACTCGCGTTGAAGCGTTTCCACAGCGGCGGACTGGATTGGCCTGGGGCAGTTCGCACACGATTTTCAACGTCGGGGCCAGGGTGGTCTGCATGTACATCAAGGATCGCGAAGTTAGTGTGCACCCTGTACTCTATAGTCCAAGGGGACGTCAACAATCCCAGTACTCACCTCGTCCAGATCGACCACTACAACGCTAATGTCCGGATCCACATACGCGACGTGCCGCGATCCGTTACAGAAGACAAGATGATCATACAGCACGCAGCTCTAGACCTCCTGGAAAGACAGCGGCGCGCGGCCGGAGACGTTCATTTGCGAGAGCGTGTGCGCGGGCGGGTGGTGCATGGCAACTTCATTGCAGCCCAGCGGCGAGAACTTGTAATCATTGAAATTCAAAACCAGAAGGGATCAATCCAGCGTAAGCGTGCCCATTCCATCGGCTGTAGTTTACAGTGAGCAGAGGGCAAAGTAGCGAGAGCACGGTGACTAGCCTTGAGGTTCTTCCAAATATTTAGTATGTCGACACGCAGGGCGACTACTATGATCGTGTAGACGTTGACGAGGGTCCGCAATCAGACGCCCACGCGGCGGGACGGCAGGAGTGATGCGCCACAGCGGAGTTCGAATACTCGAGCAAACGAGATGGAACATTAACTGGCACCGCAGACAACCATACCGCTGGTCTGGCTCGTACTGGGTCGTATATAATAGTTTCGACCAGCTTCACATCAACTACTCGCAGCTGAACGGTCTCGCAGAGAGTTGGATCCCATTCTACTCGATTTGCATCGGCGGCTTACGCAGTGAGCCGGTCTTGTCTAAGCGACCGAAATGCCCGCTCCAGCTACTTCGCAGAATTAGTACTAATTTTGCGAAGTAGCTGGAGCGCCCGCGCTTCTCCCTCTCTTCCTCTTCGCCGCAAGAACCCTATCACCCCCAATATTGGATGTGATCTTCACTTCTACCAAAGCTAGCAGACCGCGAATTCTTGGTGCACTCATTCTTTTGATGCACCGGTATGGTGAGTGCCTACGGACCACCTCACGCTACACTGAGACCCGGAGTCTCGAGGCTCAGCGCATAATTCAGCAGGCTGCAGGGCTGCAGGAACCAACACCGTGTTTTCTACAAGTGCAAGGAGTGCCATGGAGAGGTACGGCCACGTACTACACGAGTGAAGCACGAATTAGCGGAAAGACGCGCCCTGAGCACACGGTGTGTTTATTCACCGTACCCCATCTCATCGCGATCCCAGGGCCTCTCAAGATACTCTGCCCTTGTTAGAGATCGGAAGGTAGTAGAAGCTGGTCGACAACTTCACCATTCTCACCCCGCCGGCTCCTTCCGAGGTTTACGGACAGATCACGCTCGAGGTGCGCTCCCTCTCCACATTTGACAAGCTTATTTTCTGAGTCCCACCTGATGCATCATGCATCAGGCCTCTCCCATAAGCAGCGACGGCGTCAATTATTCGCACGGCCTCGCCTCCTCGGACCTCCACCATCTTTCTCCTTTTTCGTCCCCACCCCACCGCGACCCCTCGCCGCAGACCTCCCTGTCTCCCCTCTTGCGTTGTCTCCTCCTGCCTCCTTCCTGACGCTCTACGCACCTCCTTCCCGCCCTCTCATTTTGCCTCAGACCCTTCCGCGTTTTTCCCTGCCTTTCCCGCTCGTTCAGCGGACACAGCTTCATCGTATGCTCCTCCCGGTGGCGACTCAGCAAGTGCTGTCCAGCTGGACTTCGGACGGACACTGTCGCCAAATGATGGATACGGTACTTAGCCATCACGTACGTTCATTCGCTCATTAACTTGGCAGCGGCTCAGAACTAACAGACTATATATGTACGACGGGAACGTCGCCCCTTTACGGTCATCCGAGCCTCCTTACTCGTCAGACGACCCAGCTCTTGTCGTGCTACCACCAGGGGATGTTGACTTGCCGATATGTGACAATGGTTGGAAGGAGTTTGACGGGACCGATGACGACGAGTCTCACGCACCCGTCTGTGCATGGCTTCATCTGGCCGGCCACCTTCCATTTCGCTTCTGCGATGCAGTCATGGTCACGATAGGGTATATCTTCCGTGAGTTTAGACCACAGTCTGTGGCTCAGGAACTACCATCATCACTCCGCAGCGCTATGTCAAGACTGCGTCTCGAGAATCTCATTCATGTCCTCCCCGGCGCATGCCCCAAATGCTCTCTCGTCTGCTCGGAGCTGCTCGGAGAAGACCTACGACGACCGGAATGCAAAACGCCCCTCCTGCAAGACTTCAATCTTCACGTTCGCGAGCTTGCCACATCCACATCTCCACTTCCCTTATCTCTCGCTCGAGGAGCAGCTTCGGTCACTCCTCATGGTCCAGGGCATGGAAGATCTGTTACATCACTGGACGACCATCACACTTCGCGACATCTTTGATAGAATGATCTGTCCCACACTCTGCGGACCAGACGACCTTCCCTTCTTTCGTACGGACTTAGCAGGGAACCCATTTGGTGAGATTCGGGTGGGGCTGGGCTCGATTGGTGAGCTCGTCAATACCGTCTCCTTCTCCTGCACCATTCACAGTACCCAACGGGCAGGTTTTCGTACATTCGAATCCTCATCTCCGCCTCATACACATCTTGTCCGATATCGTTTAAATTGTAAACCTTCCGTCCCACTTGCGGTGAGTCTTTCATACCTTCGATCACGGCAGCAGTATATGATATACATAACCTCAATCCAGCTTTCGTGCCTCAAAGCTCCTTCTCGCAGGCATCATTCCAGTCCCGCCTGAAGAAAAAAACACTAGGACGAGACGCAGCTGTACATGCGCGTCATTGTCAACGAGCTGTTACGCTTGTATTACAGGGGTGCTGTCATCCCCACGCCCCCTAGGGGCGTCTCGTACGAGTCATACTCGGTGGCTTCTTTTGCGACAAGCCTGTGGCTCACCAAGTTGACGGCTTTGGATCACATTTCCACAAGGTCTTCTGTACGGTCGACTGAATCACGCAGTTATTCAAGGCAACTCTCGAGGCGTTCACGCGTGATGGTGAGCGACGGTCCACAGCGTTGAGGAGAATGTACTAACCAAATCATCTCAGCATTCCCTCAACGCACCCGCGCATATATGACAGCCATATCAGGCCTGCAAGACGCCAACTGCACGAGAGGACCACGCTCGTCGCTGGGCAACTCGATGGTCGGAGTTGGCGCGGCTTCCCTATTTCGACATGTGCCAAATGATCGCTGTAGATCGGATGCACAACCAGGCGAGTTTGTTCATTTGTATGCGGACATCGTAATAGAGAACAGCACTGAAGTTCATGAGCAGGGGTGGTCAAAATCCAACTCTACCATATCTGGGTACAGCTCAAAATTCTCTGCAAGACGAAGGAGCTACGTCGGGTCCATGAGCTGCTTGAAAGTGCTGCCTTCTGATATTTATCACCAGTGTGCTGATCCACGCTCACATCTATGACTCCCAAGCAAGCTTGGACGTCTCCCTCGACTGATCGGCGAGCCAGCCTGCGGTTCGCTCACAGATGACTTCCACTTGCAGTTCTGGTATGCAGACTGTTGCCTTGGCCAGAGTACCGAGCCGGGATCAGTGAGTGCAATCGTACCACTCACCGATATCGTCTCGCTCGTTGTTCGCCACATCACTACTCTCTCAGGCTCGCGATGCTGGATTACGCCCCCTCTTAGGGATATGGTGAACTAGGTATGTTTCCCGAGCATCATCGGAACACTCGCAGTACTGATTGCTGCTGCATAGCGAAGGCTTCGTGTTTGACTTATCAGGTACACATGATTGGTACATTATGTAGAAGCGAATTTCAGCTAGTATCCTACACCGCTGTGAGCTAACGTCTATCGGCGTTGCAGATGAATCCGTCGGGGATTGGAGTATTCAGTGTCATGAACTTGGATGGAAGGGGGAGTGCGGTCCCATATAAGGTCATGTAATTGTTGTTCAAGCTCGCCCACCCTCGCTAATGCACTCCTTGTAGATCAAGGTCTTCTTCGTCACCACCAAACACCCTCTGAATCGAAGGTAACGCTGCTTCTCTGGCCGTCTGTTGATGTTCTGCTGAACGAGCCTCCAGGCTCTAGCATGCTCGTCGTTGGTGTAGTCGAACCCGTCGTTCTCGGGATCCATGAGTGTGATTGTCTGTGTGAGTCGTAGGCTGGCATCTCCGCATCGTCTGGCAAGCTGCGTAAACACGCTGGAGCTACCGCCAGTCCGCACGGCTCATGTCAAATCTATTCTCGATGCTGCGACAGTCCAAGTCCGCACGCACCTTTTTACTGATACATTGGGTTGTGTGACTCTCACAGTTCCCCTTAGGAACGCCCGCCGCTTTCCTTAAGCGATCACGTTCGGTAGGATCCTCGTCGCTTTCGCCGCCGGAGCTACACATGTAGCTAATGCTGTCGCGCTCATTCCACTGTAGATTCTTCTCTGGGTGTCACATCTTCATCCCCGTGTTCTACCCGACGTACGACACGTACGGGGGCTCATGGAGCGTAGCCCGTGGACGTTCGACGCGATCCTAGCCGTCGCAGCCAAGATCGGGAGCGGGACTGACCTGCTTATCCCCACATTCTACAAGTGCCTCGAGGAGGCACAGGGCATTGCGTGCTCGTCCCTCTTCGGACCCGTCGTGCGCAAGAAAGCCGTCCAGGGATGCTCCTGCTCGCGGCGCAGAGCACGAACGGATAGTTGCCCAGCGGGCACGCGATACGCATAGCGCTCGACCTCGGCCTGCACCGTGCGCTCGAGAAGCTTGCAGTTGACAGCGGAAAGAAGTGCTTTGAGGAGGAGGAGCGCAACCTCGGTTAGTCTTCGACTGCTTTTCCACCGGGCACTCGCTCATTGTCGCCTTGCGCATACAGTGGTGTCCGCGCGGATCTGGATGTGCCTGTACTGGTTCGACCACCAGATGAGCCTGGGGACCGGACGGCTGATCGTACTGCGTGACGAGAGCTCGATCCGCCACTGCCGTGTGCTGCTCTCACACCCAATGGTGTCGCCCACAGACGTCCGCCTCGTCTCCCAGGTTAAGCTCAGAACACAGAAGAGTGCGTTTCGTCGTTGGTGTGTGTGAAATGATCGATGCTGACGCTCGGCCATAGCGCAAATCTACGAGACGTTGTCGCCGCTCGAAGGCCAGGTGAACCGCAACACGCTCTCCTTCATCCGACGTGCGCATAGTGCGCTCGAAAAGTGGTGGGCCGATTGCGATGAGCTGCACCGTAAGTCCCGTCTTGCATCTACGGTATATACCGTGCTCACGCCCCGCTATGGGTCAAAGCATGGATGATGAGGCGCTTCCACGCAAGATCCTCGCGGGCGAGCTGCACCACGCGAAGCTATGGCTCGTGTGCGTTGCGCTCCGTGGCGTCTTGTGGGACAAGATGCCGTTCGAGCAGCGCGAGCTTGCGTTCCAGGCCAAGGACGCCGCGTCCAGCTGCCTCTCGAACCTGCTCGACTCGCACACCTACAGGTACGCGCCCCGCGCCCCTGCCCCGCCCTCCGCCGCACTGACCTGGCCCCCCGCGCCCCTCTCGCCTCGCCCGCAGCGGACGAAAAACGCTACGCGGTACACGACTCGCTCGTCATGGCCGCGTTCTCCGGCCTCTTCCTGTTCAAAATGGCGAACCTCTTCCCCGCCGAGCTGGACCTCGGCGCAATAACCGTGCACGTAGAGCAGCTTGCTCAACTGCTTTCCGACGTTGTCTCCCCTAGGCAGACGATGTGTGATCTTGTCGAGGAGGGGAGGACGATCACACTAACTTTCCGACGTCGTGCTCACAAAGTGAAAGCAGCGAGGTGTAAGGGCGATGGACAGTGGTTTTGGCGGTCGCGGCAAGCCAACCGTTCCGACGATGTCTCTGCCATAGTTGGGCGCTGTAGGTACGTTGACAGCATCGCAGCGGTCTGCACGATTATCAGACCCATTGCGCGAGCGTGGTGTTATGTCGCGTCGCGCTATGCGCTAGGATCTGGACGGGCGGAGATTTAAAAATGATCAGCAAACATCGGCAATTCCCGATCTTTCGACCTGGCAATAGACTACAGACAACGCTTGCTACTAGGTCAAGCATGCCATCTTCCTCGTCATCGTCGCAGCGGCATCTTCTCAAGACGAGATCGGGAACCGCACTGAAGCTTACACGAACTGGCTCTACAGCCGAGCCTGATACAACTCAGCCTGATCCAGCGCCCCCGACAATGCCGAAACAGCATTCGCCGCAGGAGGGCAAGCGTCTGCGCCAAATGACGAATTCGAAGCGTACGATGGATGGCCCGAATGACTATGCACAAAGGGTGACAAGGGCGAAGGAAGGAAGGAAGGAGATGGGGAAGAACACTTTCAAAACGCTTAGGAAAGTTTCCGTGTCAAGTGTATGTCACCAGTGCCGACGGAGGACACCGCGCGAGAAGATGCAGTGCACAGCTCTCAAGGACTCAGGCGAGCAGTGTGGGCTTCGATATTGTGCCCCCTGCATTGCGCTTAGGTGTGCTCTTACACCTGTTCCAACCAATCCTGCGCAACGACTAATGGCCTACCTGTAGGTATCCCGAAATTACATTTGACCAACGCACGGGAGAGTTTCGTTGTCCACGTTGCCAGAATATCTGCAACTGCAGCGTGTGCTGCGCGGCCCGCGGCGAGACCTACATCTCTGCCCGCGTTGGCAAGCCTCCCACTGCAAAATCCTCCGAGGACCGCTCACTCCCTGTGGAGGCGACAAACTCGATGGTAACCACACCGCACCCAGTCCAGCCAAAGTCGAGGCTTGTGCCTGGCGAGTATTTCGGCGTCATCTACAACGTTACGGGCGAACGTGTTGGAGCCGGCTTCGTTGGGGCTGACGGTCAGGGAATCGTGTTAGGGGCTCCGGAAGGCCGTCCAAAGGTAGTGGCATATGCTGGAAAGCCTCGTGGGCGCTCTGCTCGTTCAGCGCCGCACGGGATTGACGAGCCTGACTGTAACACTCTTGACGGTGTACCTCCTGGTACATCGGCTGGCGATGATGGTGTCTCTAGCCTCCCGCTACTCAGTGTGGCCCCTCGTAGGACTCGGGCGTATGTCGGGAAACGCCCCGCGTTGGACTGCTAGTGTCGTGATGGAGTTGGGTGCATGGTTGAGTAGCAGGAGGGCCAAGGATAGGGACAGGGAGAGCAAGGGACATTGATAGTGATTCACTGGTGGCCTGGCTACGTTTTTGATGGAGTGCACCTGTGTAAACCACGTCTTTATCTACGGTATGAACCTGTCCCGTTCACTGCGTACAACGGCTTTCCAGCAAACCTCCATAGGTACATAGTGATATGGCGCATGCGTTTGTAGCCGGCGTGGCGACCTGCTCCAGCTCGCATACGCGCGATACAGGCCATCACGCTCCAGACGAGCCCCTGCGAAGACGTCTAGATGCAAGCTATCGACCGTCCTAGACCGTGACCATATTACCCAAATTCGACCGGAAGATTGATGTATAGCATTTACATTATACTACTACACGCTTGGCCTGGACTGCGGGGCCAAACGCTGCCGCGCATCAAACCGCTCGAACACCAAATCAAGACCCCGCCACCGGGTGTGGAGCGCGCTGGAGTTATTGAGCCACGATATGGCAGTTAGCTCGGCCGCTCACGCGCGAAATGTATCGATAATGAACAAGCTACATACCTGTGGAATCTGAACACGGCGAGGAGTATTGGCATTGGACGGAGCCCGACGCCTATGCGGGCTTATACCCCTTGAAGCGGAGATGTTACGCGCACATGAGCTTGAAACCAGTCAACGAGTGCGACCCTGTATAGCGGCGCCGCGCCGTATACTTCCCAGTTTGGCTCGACACCTGGGCGGCGACAGCGGGCGGCCTAGACAAAGGACTGAAGGACGAATCTGACGAGGACCAGGATGTGAGCGCACAGGTGGTGATCGACGAGCACCTTAGAAAACGGACCGAGCACTCGTCTCTCCTCCTGACGTGGCGCTTTAAGATCCGCTGTTCGACGCCGTAGACCCACTACAACAAGCTTCGCATGATCTACCACCCCTTCCCGGGCCATTTGTGCCAGAACCATGGGCATTTGAGGATAGCGAGTTCAATCCCGGTCCTGGAAGCTGACTCGGCATGTGATCGGACGCCTTCGAGTCTTCTCGGATTCCTGCGACGTCCACGCAACCCATGAATCAGTGGCAGCTGCTTGGCGGCGCACAATCAGCATCATCGTACCAGTTCCTGTCAGGTGAATACAACACGCCATCGGCATTTCCTTTTACTGTCAACAACGGCAACTCCAGTGAGTAGATCCAGCCTAGTGTCGCTAGGAGGCGGCGCTCACTCACGAACATTTATAGTGAATACCGGCTGTAGCATCAGCGACCATGCCGCGCTCTCTTCGGAGCTTCAGGCGCAGCGCAAGATGTACGCGGAGTTGAAGCGTGACCTGGGCGGGCTTCGTCGCCGACTCGAGGTGCCGTAAAATAAGAGGAAGTCAACAGACGATGGTTCAGATATAGAGCTTGACGCACCCATCATAGTAAGAGGACTGCCATGTCAGCTTGCAGTTTGAGGTCCATAGCTATTGACACGAACCTATAGGATCTCTTGCACGAGAAGATGCGCCAAGTCATAGTATGCAAAGGACTAGCTCGAGTCACCGATGATCCGAAGGCGTCGCCGTGGTGGGATCTTCCTGATCGCTCGCCCCGGGTGCAACTTCCCCCGCAGGCTCCAGACGGAGTATCTGATCTAGTCTTACCTGACTGGAAAGCCAGTGTCGTCGCCCCTGCAATTGCACGAGCACTGGATACCACAGTCGGTCTGATCATGCAGTCTGGTCATAAAAGTGAGCTGAATTGCAAACACAACTTCCGAGTATGATGGACTTACCGGGAGATAGATCTGGTCGGCCTGGACGGCGAGCGTCTGCGCAGGCGTCTGAAATCTGCTGGGCGGACGTCTCTCCGGTATTTGAAGACTCAGCGACGTCTGCGGCGGGATGAAGATACGACGAATAGGCTTGAGGCCAATAAGCAGGCCGATCGGCGAAGCAGCCGCAAGAGATACGTACGTACAACGATGATGCAGGTGTGCCCGCGCGTTTTGATCGTCGCACTTGCATCATGTAAAGCAGATGATTTGCGGAGGGGTGCTATACTACTGCGAAGATACCTGGGCTACGCCGCAACAACTGGGCTCGAGGACCTGATTTACACGGACTGGGTTAGCTCCGACTGCAAAGGACGTACATATGGTAGAGCTCGCGGGCTTCGGCCTCAGAAACGAGTCCCTTGGAGAGCAACTCGTTGAGATGCAGCACTCGTATATGACGCACTGTGCCTATGGATGACATACTCTTCCGACGACGTAGGGGAAGGCATTGCGCGAGGTTGGGTCGGCGCGCTTGCGCTTCTTCACCCTGTTGAAAACGTTAAAAGCATTAATGGCGCGATCTCATGCTACGTACCAGGGAGGCTGAGTAGACGGGACGACAGCAGCCTTTGCAGCAGCCTTTGCGAGATCCTGCAGAGCCTCGATAGGTGCAGTGAGCGTTGAGGGGGAAAGTGTGTCTTCCGACTCGTCATCCGAAGATGGCGCGGTGCTAGGCATGATTCCATATGTCGCGTACGTGTGCGGCTATATATCCAAAGACCAGATAAGTCTGGTAGCATGGCAGTAGGCAAAGACGGATGGACCGGTAGCGCAAAACCCGGCAGGGGCGGGAACGCACGCGGACGAGGCGGTCCGTCGCCCGGCGAGTTCCCGTACATCTCGACGTTGTTGCGCTGCGGCGACATGAGCCCGGACATAAGGGGCTCTCGCGCGACGGACCGCCCGGCGGGGGGTAAGCAGGACCACCCTGGACGAGCGCCTGGTTTTCAATGGCCGACAGGATGCGGTCGAGGGAGGATTGCATGCCGATCATCTGGCTCTGCATGACCTGCTCCCCGAGGTCAGCAGCTTGTGGGCGGCGGAGACGCGGGGGTACATACGAGGTACTGTCCCTCGAGGTGGGAGAGGCGTCTTTGGGGGAGGGGAGATGGTGGTTTGAGCATGAGGGGCGCAAGGTGCGGTGCCGCACTGCTTGGCGCGACACGAGTGGATGGGAGCACTGACTCGACGCTTGCGGAGGACAGAGCCTATCCTTTTTGCTTCTCGGATTTCTCGAAGACGCATTGTGCCCCGCTCACTTGGCATCGGCGACAAGGGTACTAGCAAGCGTAAAGTGAGTTTTCCGGGTCAGGCGGAGACACGGGCCAGACGGAGACGAGGCGGGTGGGGCGATGGGTGGACAAGTGGACATCGCATCCGAGCGGGTGGTAGGAATGTGTAGAACACGGAGCAGTGGGTGTGTATGTACGATGTACTACCTGAAGGTGGAGGTGTTATAGTATCGATCGGGATGGGAAAGCACGCGACGACTCACCTCGCGCTCGCTCTGCCCTTGCGACAGTGGGTGCATGTGCGCGCATCGCGCTTGGTGATGTGGACGGACGCGCCGCCGTCGGGAGTGGGTGGCATGGCGAGCGCGAGCGCGGACACGGACGCGGACTCGCTCGGAGAGCCCATCTCGGACCGGGCTAGGCCGTTAGAGGCGGTGGGGCCATTGGAAGGCCCGGCGGCTCAGCTGGCGGTACGACGACGCTTGCCGTGGGGTTACTCGTAGTCGTTGGACGTGGTGGGCGAGAGGGATATCATGGGCGGGGACGGGGACGGAGACGGAGACGGGGATGGCAGCGAGGAGGGACAGGGAGGGACGCGGGCACACGAGCTTGGGTTAACTTGGTGCACGGGCAGTGCACGGCGGAGAGCGGGCGCCCGGAGGGCCGGCTGACCCGCCTGCCTGCCGTCTTTTCTCCCACTCACTCGGGGGCAAGCGCCGTGGGGTTGGGCGATCGAGAGAGACGCTGGCCTGTTTCCGCCCTTCCCTCCGTGCCGCCTCTCACTGTCTCAGCAAGTGCTTGCTACATTCGTGCGATCCGTCCAGAACGAGCACAAAAGTCGCGCAATCGTCCTGAGCACCCTATCCTCGACGCACCCCAGGCCGTCCTTTGTGATTGGCACGGCCCGGCCGCAAATGTCCCGCTCGCAAACCAGAAGACATGGTTGGTGTGGTGTTGCTTTCGTGTCAGGTATGTTGCCAGCCCGTCCCGGTTCGAACTGCGTTCACCACGTCCGAGTAGCCTCCTCCGTGTAGACCCGCTCTCTTACGTTGCAATCTTCGACTCACGCTCTTCGCTCGGAATGCAAAAAAACACCCGCGCAGACGCTTCTCTCCCTCCGTCCTTCGCCACACCTCTCGCGCACGTCCGGCACGTGTGGGTATTGTACCATATCGACGACCACCCCCTTCTCTCGCTTTTGGTGAGTTCCTAGCCTGGTCCGCCGCGAACTACACTCACAACATCCCGACAACTCACCGCATGCACACTCGCAAGATACCCACTATCCCACCCGCATCGCCCGATGCCCCGCTGCCAGAGCACTTCTGGCACGACGGTGGGGTCCAGGAGACATCACCGCTACACGCGCCAAGACGCCAGCCTCTGAACACTCGGCCCTAGGCTGTATGCACCAGGGCGCACGCGCATGCGGCGCGAAGGCGCGATCCGGGCACAAAAAATCTCTCTGGTTCGCCCGGATTTCATGGGCATCCGCCCGAAGTCCGGTTGTCCCGCGCCTGCTGTGCGCCCGTCCCGCCGCGCACGGCCACTCCGCTTGTGGCTCACGCTCGTGGGCGTCCTCGGTGCCGTGCCCGGCGCTTGTGGGGGCGTACGCAGACTTTGCGGCCGGCCGCGTTGAGCCGTTTTGGGCGGGTTTCGTGGGCCAGACCAACAAAGTCCGCGCTGCGTCACACCCCGACGCGGAACACCCCGGCTCAAGGCTCCGTGCGTGTACACGGCAACCAGACGTGCGAGACAGACACGACGTGTTCGGCACGCCGCTATCGTCGCCGTCGGTGGACGCCCATCATGGCCGACACCCCGAGCCCATGCCCATTCCGGGGGAGCCGGGGATGTGGGGCCCACGACGGGCGCCCCGTCCTGGGCACGATGGGGGACGCCGCCGTGCGCGCAGTGGGCGCGGATCTGCTGCGTCCAGGCCGTCGCGCGTCGCGACCGCTGTGTGCGGTGTGTATGTATGTTAATTTACACACCTCCCTGCCTCCATCCTCTCCCCGATGCCCGCAGCATTCCCGGAGTCGGGTACGCGGTCCCTGTACGAGCTGGGATGAAGAGTTGGGTTAGCCGTCCCGCTCCCGCACTCACCATCGTTGCCTGCACACTCGTCTCGCCGGGCCGACAGCCGTTGAGCGGGGTCCTGGCTCTGGTGTGCGTGCTCCGGGGGCCGACGGGGATGGCTGGAAATCCAAGGTAAGCTCGCGGCCGGCTCGTAGACGAAAGCCCAACTCACCGCAGTCGTACTAGGGGCCTCCTCTCCCTTGGGACGAGAAGCGCGTACGTACTGTACCGTAGTGTCCCGCCCGAACTTCATCGACATGTACATACGCTTTACAATACGACAGCCCGTACCGCGTCCACCTCGAACCCGCCACCCCTCTCGTTAAAGAGTGCCCGCGCGCCCTCCTGCGTCGTCTCCGCGACCGGCACGCTGCGAAAGAAGGACCAAAGTAAGCAAACGCGCCGCGCGCGCACGTGGTTTAGTTGACCCCCCCCCCGCACTGCCTCGCCCTCCGCAGGCTTGCCCCAGTGTCGGACGAGTGTCGAGTTGGTGGGCTTCTGGCAGAGTGAGTCAGATCGGATACCCGCCGATCGAGACATCGGACTCACCGCTCAATACAGGGCTGCAACCGCCGTACACGTCTGTAGCTACACACGATGTCGGAGGGGAGGGGGCGTCGGGCTGTCACCCCGCTCTCTGTGTCTGCGTGCAGGTGGGACGCCAGCCAAGGGACGCCAGGTGTGCGGTGTCCTTTCCCGAAACACCCGCCGACGTACCGTGCTTCGCGCTACGCCGCGCGACCGTCGGTGCATTGCGAGATACCTGTGAGACGGTCAATACATCGCTCGACCCGGACGCGAACACGCCAAGCTGCGCCGCGAAGACGTACACGGCCTAGAAGCGCACCTCGAGCGCAACGGGATGTGCCCTATTCCGTGTCCCCGCGGCAGCCGTGAGCAGCGCTAGCTAGCGAGTCAGTGCAGGTACGAACTACGAGGGGACCACGTACCGGACCCCCGCGGACGGTACCGGTGAGCGGATGCTGACGCTGTGAGGTCGATGCATTCATCAAGGCTATGTCTGCGCTCCCTGTGTCTCTCGGTACCTAGCCAGCTATTCGCAGTGTTATTCCGCCAACATCCTGCCCCTCCATCCCCTTGCATGACGGTCGGATGTAGCCCTGCGGTGGCGCTTCCTGCACAACGGGGTTTACTCTTATCTATCTCGGCGGGTTAGTTATGGCGACGCTACGAAATTTGTTGATCCTAATCACCCGCTGCCGATCCATTTTATATAGCCTCCTATTCGAGCGACGCAGGGGGCTTATTCTGAAATTCAGCTCTTGTCAGCGGCGGCGGCGGCGTGAGTTGAACGAAGGCCAGATACTATTTTGAGGTAACCGATCATTGCAGCTCTATAGCCCTCATTTGTCTTCGTTATGGATGGGTTCCCTCATGCGTGTAAACCTCCCGGACGTTTTCGTGACATCGTCCGCATTCACGCCGTGCACATCAGTTCTCCAGTCTGCAGGCTAGATCACCTTAAACGTCCTAGCAAGAGTATGAGTACGTGGAGGGGATAGGATACACCAGAAGGCTGATACTGTCGCGGGTGTCTACAAAGAACCCCCGTTTGCCTCTACCGTGAACACGCCTGCATCGCATCCCAATCTGGCCGCCAGGAATGCCTCCCAGTAGGAGCCGTGTCATCACGCCAGCGTTCGTCGGGTTCTTGCGTACAATAAGGGTGGTAGTGATGCACTTGTGCCTCACGCAAATGTCGGGTAGGAGCTCCATGATTGGCATAAGCAACCACTTGACGCTGTGGTTCTGGTGAGGCATAGCCGGTAGGTATGGGGTATGCGGGAGTATGCCTTTGTGACGACGGGCGGTGACGATGTGGATAGCGAGGGAATTGGCCAAAGCTGTCGAATGCCTGAACGGGCGGAAGATACTGGCCATGCTGGCATGTTCGAGGACCGCCGCAGGGCTCGCTCGGGAGGCCGTGGGATCTCCGGGCTGTCCTTGGTCCGCAGTGGTCTGCAACGTCGCCGTAACCGTAGGGGCGCGCTGTAAAGACTTCTGCATCTGTGGAGGGGTATGGATCTACTGTACCCTGAGATATGGCCACTATTTAATAAATCTTTGAGATGATGTACGTGTGTGAATAATCGCACCTGGTAATCGGGCTGGCGAGACATGTGCTCTGTATACATACTAGAGCGTTGCAAAGTCATCCGTTGGAAGTGCTTTGTATCATCCCCGTACTGGGTGCCACCACTTTCAAGTTGGTCGATGTCAGGCGCTGAAAGTAACGGACCGTAAGCAAAACGCCTACCTATGCCGCATGGTCGTCCACGGACGTGCGTGGTTGTCGCGGTACGGGACCTGCTCCTGCTCGATATCGCTGCTGAAGGCTGGTTAACGAAGTCCTCCATCGATCTCCGTAGGTTACATACTTCGCGCTTCCGTCCGTAACCATACGCGGGTAAGCAACATCAGGTTGGCCCCATGGCTTCGGAAGAATTGATCGATCGTGAGTGGGGCCGCGAATTTCCCTGAGGAGAGCTGAGTTATATTTTGTGAGATAGGATCGACCAACGCACTCGTACTGGTGCGAAAAGGACGGTAGTAACGGTGGCCCTGGATGGCGGCGAGAGCGCGGCGTCGGGGGCTCGTTCATGACGACGTCCATGAAACTGACACGTTTGGGACGATCATTACCAAAGGCCGTGGTTTCAGAAGGTGCGTCGCGGCTGTGTGTCAGGTTAGCGACAGCCTGCCTGATAAAGTGTTGGCGTACTTGGCTGACCCTGCAAGTTCAGTTGATGCTGGGCCGACGCATCCGATTGGAGATGGCGCCCTCGCATGCACTCGCAGCCGATGTAAATCTGCATGAGAACTTGGGGAGCGGCTCGGTTGCCTCGTTCCCCGAACTGTGTAGTCACCTAGCTCATCCTCAGATTCCCTTGCAGGTGATCTTGCACTATGATCGGGGGACGCGTCACTTGTAAACAGTTAGTAAACAAGAAACGAGCGCGCACGACGTCGACATACCGGATTTGCAGGGGAGAATCTGCGCCGCCTGGAAGCTCATGTTGGACCGCGTTGCAACTTAGGACATCCTCCGGATGCGTGGCTTTTACAGCTACGTCTCCAGATATCCGAGTCTCGGTATGCCTCGACCCGGCGTCTCCGGCGCGCAACGGGTCTTCTGTGCTCGCCGGCGTTGCGCGCTTTGCCGAGTCCGCGGTAAGTTCCAGTGCACCCCTTGGCAGAGATTAGTGCTCAGATAGTTAACGTGCATGATACGGACTTACCTGAGATGCAACAAAGGTACCGTGCCCAGCTGCGGAGTCCGAGGCTCGATGGGCGCAGGGCAGGGGTCAGTATCGGGCTTGCCAGTGATGCTGCTTCGTAGTTAGTGATCAGGCCAATTTAAGCCACACTGCCGTACCTCATTGCAAGCGGAGCGACATCCAGTGCGTTATCGAGACCATCCTGCTGTATCTCGTCGCAAACGAACACAGGGCTATCCACGGCCGCGCTCTTGACTCGTGTACGCTTGCTCGATTGTTGCAGTTCACTAGCCCCGGCCTTTCTCTTGTTTGGGCGAGGGCTCTTGGGTTCGGACGCCTGGGATGTCTGTAATGCTCCGCGACGTTCCTCGACATCGCTTGCGACGTCGGCGGGCAATGTAGGAGATACCCCTCGCAGAGCAAACGGCTTGACCTCTACATGGTGTGGTTCAGCGCATACATTAGAGGGCATGTTTCCGGCTGCGTACCTCCATCTACTGAATCTTCGAGTTTCACCCGCCGGGGGGCTGCACGCGGTTTACGAGTGACTGTACATTCATGAAAGAGTTTGCTAGACATTGGGATGTTTCCGGACGCGTCTGGGACCCTCGTGACGATCGGTCGCTTTCCCAAGCAGAGATCTAGACATCAAGGCGACATTAGAGGTTGTCGCGCGAGTTTCCGAGCCAAAGAACCTACCAGGTATACAACTAGTATCCAATTTCTTGAAGACGATAGTATGTGTTTCCTTGGAGAGCGCTTCGAGTAGAACCACTTGATCAGACGAAGAGATGTAGTTGCCTGAAGGTCCTTCGCAAGATCCCAGCCAAAGCGCACGCTCTGGCCAGTTCTCGCACACTATACCTTGCCGGGCCAACAGGTCTCGCCATCTCTTCCACGCCCCGTGACTAGGAAAGACACCTCCGGCGGACTCTACAATATATTCCGGAGTTAGGTATATTGCAAAGACAAGATGTGGAACGCCCTACCAAAGCGACGCTGTAGTTGCTGACGTATCTCTTGCAGCCGATTCTTAGTTGAGCCCTTTGCCTGCCCCATGTGCGGCTGCGGGCAAGAACCTTCAAGCGACGTGTCTTCAGTACGATCATGAGAGTCCGCCGGTCGCGCGCCTGCTGCACCGTGAGGGTCTGCTATGTGTGCGATTAGATGACAGGGATTATCAACAAATCATGATTCAGCTGTTGCGAGAGACATGAATACCTGGTCCGGACATCGGAATGACTGTGCATGAAGCGTCGTTCTTATCGTGCACTTGTATCCGGTACTGGCGACTGCAAAGGAGGCTCGTTAGGAATAACAGATATATATAATGACGTAACTCTCACTATATGTGGTCCTGAAAAGCCTCCTTGACCTCGTCTTTCGAGGCCGTGAACTTGGCCGAGAAGAACTAGAGCGATGACATGAGCCTTATGAAGAAGTAATGGAATTGAGAGCGTGGAACCTGATCGGCGGGGCAGGTGCTGATTACCTCCGCCAGAGCGCTGTCGTTATGTTGAAGGTTTCCAGCAAGTATAACGATTGCTTCGAACCCATCGAGGTTTGCATGCCGCTTGACCTACAATTTATTTTATCAGCGATGTAGAACACGAAGTTTCCCACTGCCCACATACCATGCTTTCAAGCGCTGCAACGTACTTTTTGAACTTTTTGGTGCGCACATGCAACGTCGTCTCCCCCCCAATGCTTTGGAGAGCGTCGAAAGTCTGCAACACCTTTTTCCACTGGTTACCAAATGCTTGCTGGAAGCCTGCATAACACTGGAGACGCAGTTCGGGCCAGGAATCTTGATCAATAAGCTCTAGTCATTGCAAAAGGTAAATGCGAGAATCTAGCCGAAGCGTAGTGCTCGACGCCAACCTGCCAAACGTACCTGCACCATGGATATAGCCAGGGCGCACCCTGGATATCTCTGCCTGCATAGCCGTTTTCAGATATGCGTTGTAGATGTTCCAGTAATTATGCGCCTTCGTCGACCGCGGCACATCCGCCCAACGCATCCACAGGGACAAGACTTCCGCGTTAGGCATGTTTGCATCCTTAGCTAGCCTCCCAACGATAGCGGATATCTCTTCGAATCCAGCAGCCAGAACGGCGCTCTTCCCATTGGCATGGGTTTGGTCGAAAATGGGAGCGGTATCGTCGCCCGAGTCAGGCGGGAGAACGGTATCGGCGCTGGAGACGGGTGGAGGGACAACGTGGGTTTGGTCGAGAATCGGAGCGGTATCGTCGCCCGAGTCAGGCGGGAGAACGGTATCGGCGCTGGAGACGGGTGGAGGAACAACGTGGGTTTGGTCGAGAATCGGAGCGGTATCGTCGCCCGAGTCAGGCGGGAGGACGGCATCGTCGCTCGAGACGGGTGGAGGGACAGTGTTGTCGACTAGTAGTGTGGAGGACACAATGCCAGTTGGCACCCCAGTCATCTCAACACCGCGTATAAGGGAGTGAGGTAGGGGGGGGAGACAAATCCTCGACGTCTGTCGCATCCCGGGGAAGAGGAGTTCCGAACCGGAGTAGGCTGAAAAGGGCGCGCTGCTGTCGAGCGTTGCACTCACCTCCGGTGCAACCATAACCGCTTGCCCAGGCTCGTCCGTGGAATCCTCAGCGAACAGCCCGGGCGGCCATAGGTATTGCCCTGGGTACTCCCATTCAGAATCAAATTCGATGTCGACGCCGGATGTTTCAGGCTGCGCTAAGGGGTCGCATCCAGGGGGAGGCTGAAGCGGCGCAGCAACATTGTGTAGGGATTCGGCCGTACCAGGCTGAGGAACTGGTATAGCAGCGTCGAGGATATGCTCCTCTTTGTCGCCTGAAGGAGCGAGTTCCTCTCCCTCGATATCGACCTCCGCCTGTAAGCCAGTGAATTCGCGTAAAGTTCCCAGTAAAAGTAGAAATAATATACGGTTCGTCTAGCTCGCGAGATTGTAGCCTCTTCCAAAAAACGCAACCCTTGGCCGCGTTGAGAGGTTTTGATCCGCCTGCGTAGCGAGCGAGCTGGGCTATCAACTTGAGGTTTGGTAGCGCGTGTGCGTGTCATCGAGCGTGGGGGGGTACTAGGAGGGGTGATGTGGGTGATGTGGGTTCGACCGGGGCGACATGCGAAGATAATAAATGCCTCATAGTTGGGGGGGGGGAGTGAGAGGATGTCGCGGTCGTGGTCAAAAATAATCAGTACTGTCTGCGTGCCTCCGATTAACGCGCTGCCCCGCCTCGGAAGCGATTGGGAAATTGCTAAAAACGGCAATCCCGGTGCATTACAGCCACAATGGCATTATTGGAGTTGGGACGCCCACAAATACGGCACTTTCCGGCGAGACGCAATTTAATGCTCCAGGGGGGTGATTTCGGGGTCCTAGCGAAAGACGGTCTTTTGAGGACTGTCTTTTTTGTATGTAGAAACGAGCTTGTCGGCCTTCGATCGCTGTTCACGCGACGTGGATGGCGGCGAACTAGTAGGTATCAAGACTATTTAGTATTTTGATTGTAGCGTTGCTACATTCCGCAATCAGACATCCAGGTTCTCGCAGTCGTTGATGGTTTGGCCAGCGTGCGCGTAGGAACAAGTCGATTTTGACATGGGAGTAGGAGGAGGAAAAGCACAGCGCGCTACACGGGCGCTTGTCTCTCCTCAGCGTTGGACTCGTGCATACAGCCGCGCCCACGTCTTTCTGAGTTCGCTTGCTGTCGAGGTCGCCTCCGAGTCGTCATTCTTGTCGATGACGTCACGCGTCGCGCGCGCGAGACCTGCGATTGGCCCGCCACAGACGCCGGCGTCTCTCTCTTGCCACTCACGATGTCGACGCGATCCGCCGTGCTCTCCGTCTTCCACCGCTCTCGACGCCCTCGCTGCTGCGTGAAACTCACCCCGTAGCGATTCGATACAGGTCGACTTCTACGTGTATGTACTGCTCTCGACTCGCTCGCGCGCGATGTCGTCCATTCTCCTCCCGAACACCGCTGGTGAGTCCAGATCGACAGTACACAGAAATTGTCGCTTACCACGCATTTCTAGCGCAGATACTGCGCAAACGGTCGACTCCCTGGCCGTTTCACGCCGCGCAGAGCATGCGTACGCTGCAAGATGTTTCGTTTTTCGTCAATAAGCAGCTTCATCTCAGCGCGCGCCTACTTACCGGACTAACCCAGCATACTCCCACACGACAAAGCCATCAAATACGGTCAGTTGGGCTCCTTTCGCGGCGGAAATAGAGTACTTTCTGCACTCTACTCGCCGTTCAGTTCATGCGTGCATTCCAACGCATCCCGCGCATCTCTCGACTTTGAAGAGGTCGTTGTGTCGCATCGACACGTTTCGCGCGATCCGTAGCTCGCGTCATCCGGCGTTTCCCTCGTTTTCCTCGTACTCGCGGAATCTGTGTGCCTGTCGAACGCGTACAACGGTGAGCAGAAGCTAAATCAAGGAGAGCAACGGCTTACCTGACGACTTCCGCACGCAGCGGATCTATCGGGCATAGTCAGCGACACTCGGGCGGTCGAGCACTCACAGTGTTCGGTTCTCGTCCGCGTCTCCCCGCGCATGTGAGTCGTGCAGAAGCGGGATAAGCGGCGGCCAAATGGCATGCAGACAACATTGGCATATCCTGGGCGACGACGGGCACGCCGCAGGAGGGGGTGAGTATGCGAGAGGTGAGTATGCGAGTGCAAGAGACGAGGGGAAGTGTCAGGGGAGGTGCTGAACGAGACGAGCCCATGCTGCGTGCTTATAACTGTTTTTCAGGGTGCAAACAATCGTGCACGGACCAGATCAAACCCCAACGCGAGCCCGGACCCTCGCCAGGTGCGTACGCCGTATGCGAGACACGATAGACGGAGCAGGTGCGCCGCTGTCCGTGAACCCTCAAACACGTCCGAGTGACCGCGCCTCCGCTTCGCGCGAGCGGGAGATCACGATCCGACACGGATCCTGCGCCGCGCCCGCCATCTTCGCCGTCCTCGACTCGCCGTCTGCCCGCTCTCGTGTCTCGTAAGACATATCCGTCCGCGGCACGATGGCGGGCACCGTGCCGCACCACTTGCTGACAGGTACTCCGCAACGGTGGCCGGATTCGCGGGCGTGTAGAGCAGGGGACGAGGACGAGGCCCGGGAAGATCTCAAGCCGCCGTTACGGGAGATTCGGACGAGCCGAATGAGCGTGGCGAGGCGAAACAAACGGAGCGAGGGTGGATGCGACGGGCGCCGAGTACGAGTGCACCAGCGTCCAATATCGCTTCGCCCTCGCTCCGCGATATGCCAAATCTGGGGCGGGCTCGATGCACGCGCGCGGACCCACTGTGTCTCCGGCAGTCACTGTGGGTCCGGTGTCACAGCTGCGGTCGGCAAAGACGCGGAGAGACCCTGAACACGATACGGCCGCGGCGTACTCTTCTGGGAGCAGTCTGGGAGCGTACGTGCGTCGGCAACGTCGTGTGTGTGCTGCGGTATCTGGCGGAAGCAGGAAGACAGCGACACTCCTGAGCGAGGGCTGAGCCAACGGGCAGAACCCTATCAGGGCTGGATGCCTAGCGCATGCGCACGGTCGTGCCCCCGTCTCGACGTCTCCACCGATCGTCAGGGTGTCGGTACGTACAGGGTCCTTTCGCGTCCCTGAGCATCTGGGCACGATGCGCACGCGGAGATGGCGCTACGAGTGCGCCGCGCGCGCCATGTACGGGAGCTTCTGGGCGCGCAGATGCAGAGTACACATGCGGGGATGGCGGCGCGAGTGCGCCGTGTATGGGAGCTTCTACA